ATAAATAAATAAATAAATAAATCTTTAAAGAAAAAAAAAGAAAACTCTCGTAGGGGTTTCTGAGTAGCTGGGTGTGGGCTCTTATAGAGGAGGCTACCAAGAGTAGGGCAGGTGGTCAGGGTTAGAAGGGCCAGACTGTCTTGCTGAAGCCCCTTGCAGGCATTCTTTACCCCTGGCCAGACCCTCTTGCTAGGGCCCTCCTATTTCCAGGACGAGATCTGGTATCATTAGTGTGTTTTACTCAGTGGTCAGTTCTCTTACTGTAGGTGTCAACTGAAGGCAGGGAAAGGGAAACCAAAAGGGAATACTTCTTCCTGCCTTAAGCCAGAAACGGGAAGAGAAAAGAGTGAGGGAGTTCTGTCTGGAGCCTGGCCTTTCCTGGGACCTTGTCACAGAAGGGGAGTGATAGGGGGCTCACCTGAACCTTTCAGGGAGAGGCAGGAGGGAGTGATGAGGACCCCTGAGGGAGAGGCTGGCCTAGGGGACAGCAGGTGATGTGCTGGAGAAGTGACATAGCTTGGAACTGGTTTGTGAATGAGGGTGGTGTAGAAGGCAGAAGAAGGCACAGAGGCACTTGAGACTGTTTGGGGGAAGTGGTGGAAAGGGAGGCCCAGCCAGAGATGTGTAGCTCCTGCTGTGGAAATAAATCCAGCCACTTAGACTTAGATTCTTCCTATGTGACCACGAGGAAGTCACTTCAGTTTCCTGGCCTGCAGGTTCTTATCTGTGTCTTTCTGACATTCGATGCTTTGTGTTTCGTGTATTTTCTCATTTAACTCTTGAAGAACTTCATGGGAGTAGGCAGATCTAGTGTTATATCCATTTTAAAGATGAGGAAACTGAAGATGGGTTACTTACTAATGTTACATGTATAGAATGTGTGAGGCCAGAACCCCAGGACTCTTATTCAGGGGACTCTGGCTCTGGTGCTCTTTCTAGGCACCCACACCAACCTCCTAAAATAGCTGGAGGTAGCGGGCACCGAATGGAAGGGAGTGTGGAGGTCACAATGCTTTCTGACCTGTTCCCTAACCTGTGACCTTGATAAGTCACCTTATTTCAGGTTTTTCACCTAGAAGAGGTAACGACAATGGTATTAGTGTCTAATATGACAGTGGGTATTAGCATGCTGAATTACCCTCGAGAGGAAATTAAATAATGTATATTCTAATACCACCGAGCCTGGCTCATAGTAACTGCTCAATAAATGCTGGCTATTATTGCTGTTCTTTTAATTACCAGTAACAAGCAAGTCTCCCCAAATGTCAAACATGCACTTTCAACCTGAGTTGCATTTTCTCCTATGAGAAGAGAAGGGAGAGGTAGAGCTGACAGGGCCCAGCTAGCTAGACTTTTAAGAAAGGGATAGAAATGGAGATTGTGGAGGAACACAATGAAGATCGGACTAGACTATAGTCCATGTAGCTATCTGTACATTAGGACCCCCGGGGCGCTTCTAAAGACAACCTTGACTGGACCCCACTGCAGATCCACTCAATCTTGAATCTCTGGTGAGTGGGGTCCAGCACCATATGCAACTCTTTCTTTAATTGAGATATAATTTGCATGTAATGAAATGCAGAAATCTTAGGTGTTTATTGAGTTTGACTATCAAGACACTGAACATTTCCGTTACTTGATACCTCTTTGAATTCCCACTTACTGTCCTCCCATAAGCATTTTCTGATTTCTATCAGCGTCGATTAATTTTATCTGTTCTTAGATTTCATATAAATGGGATCAAACAAGTTGAATTTTCTGGTAATTCAACTTGTTCAATAAGTGGGTCTAACTTATTTTGCTTAACTTAATGTTTCTGAAATTCTCCCATTTTAAGCTTGTCTTGTTCACTTTTTATTGTTGAGTGGTATTGATGGACATTTGTGTTGCTTCCAGTCTTTTGGCTATTGTGACGAAAGCTGCTATGGAACATTCATGTACAAGTCTTTATGCTTTCTTTCTTTCTTTTTTTTTATGATTTATTTATTTAGCATATAAGAACTGGGATGCAGGCCAGAGCTGTGGGGGGTGAGAGGACTCACCAGAGACAGAGTGAGAATACAACAGACAGATTGACTGAAGTACACTGCTGAGGGGAGCAGCGGGTGAGTCAGGAAAGGTCTACAGCACCATGTGGGTTGCTTCCCTACCACTGGCTGGGGATTGAACTTGTGCTGCAGTGACTGCAGACAGCTCCATAGGTTGCGTCTTAACCCCTTGTGCCACAAGGGAGGCCCCAAACCTTTATATTTCATTACTCTTAGGTAAGTAGTTAGGAGTGGAATTGGGTAAAATTGTCATCGGTTAGATTGCTGGGCTATAAAGTAGATATTCATACAACTACCAACTGGTCCTCTGACTTAGTTGTACCATTTTAAACTCACTCCAGCAGCAATTCTGGTTTCTTCTCTCCACCCCTCCACATTTGACTATCTTTTAGCTTAATGGATGTTTAAATGGTACTTCATTATAGTTTTAATTTTCATTTCTCTGAGGACTATGTTGGTGTCCTCTAGTATATTTCTGGGTTCATTTTTGAAACAACTTATCTTTTTTTTTTTTTAAAAAAGATTTATTTTTATTTATTTATACAAGCACTGGGTACAGTCAGAAGTGCGGGAGGGTGAGAGAATTCACCAGAGCCAGAGCGAGGAGCAGAGCAGGCAAAAGGACAGAAGTACACTGCTGAGGGGAGCAGCGGGCGGCAGGAGAGGCCTGCGCGCCATGTGGGACCCTCTTTTGGTGGCCGGGGAGCAGCCGGGGATCGAACCGGTGCTGCAGAGGCTGCGGGCAGCTTCGCAACCCAGCGCTCAACCGCTGCACCACCGGGGAGGCCCAATTTATCTTTTTCTTTTTGATTTATATGAAGTTTTTATATTTCAGTATGAGTTTTTCCTTAGATATTATTTATTCCAAGAAATTTGGCTTACTCCAACATCCTGAAGATCTGGAATCTTAATGGTTCTGAATTTTGTGTTTAGGTCTGTGATCCATGTCGATATAATTTTTGTATGTAGTCAAAGGTAGGGGTTGAGGTTCTTTTTTCCCTCCATTCAGTATCTAGATATTCCAGCATCAAGTTTAAAAAAATTATTTTCCCCATTGAATGGAATTAGTACCTTGACCAAAAATCAGTTGACTATATATGGGTGAATTTATTTCTGGATTCTAGTCTGTTCCATTGATTTATTGTCTGTCCTTACACTATACTACACTGTTTTGATTCTTGTGGCTTTATAGAAAGTCTTAATGTCAGGTAGAATAAGTACTCCAGCTTTGCTCTTCTATTCCAAGCTTATTTGGGCCATTCTAGATTATTGGTTTTTTTTTTTCCCCCATCTTCATATAAATCTTTGAATCAACCTGTCAATTTCTTTAAAAATGTCTGCTGAATTCATAGGGGGCCTCCCTGGTGGCACAGGGGTTAAGTCTCAGCACTATGAAGCTATCTGAAGCCACTGTAGCATGAGTTTGATCCCTGTCAGGGAGGTGACCCACATGGCGCAGCAGACCTGACCTATCCTATCTCACCTGCAGCTCCCCTCAGCAGTGTATTCCAGTCATTCTTCCTGTTCTGCTCCCCACTCTGTCTCTGGTGAATCCTCTCACTCCCTCACCTCTGGCCTGCATCCCATTTATTGTATGCATAAATAACAAATCAATCTTTAAAAAAAATTCTCATAGGGATTGTGTTGAATCTAAACATCAATTTGGGATAAATCTGAACTATTTGAACTTCTGATCCATGAACATACATAACTTCTTATTTTGGCCTTTGTGCCAGGAGGGTTTGCAGACAGAGGTCTTGGCTGTTTTTCATTAGATTTATTCCTAGTATTTGATGTGGTATTTCGCAGGGTGCTGTTTTTGTAGTTCACAAAACACAATTTCCAATATTTTCTTGCTAATATGTAAAAATACACATTCATTTTTGCACATTTGTTTTGTGCCCTGCAACACTGTTTATTAGTTTTAGGCGAGTTTGTTTTGTTTTGGTGGATTTTGTCCCTAAGGGTGTTTTGAGCTCTCACAATGGAGTCTGCAGTAGCGCCTATGTTCAGAAGGAATGTGATAAACTGAGCAGTGTTTAACTTAGGGTGTTTGAGCCCCACCCGAAACTCAACCGGAGAGAAAGTGGAGTGCGGAGCACAGGTAATTGTACAGATCCTCTGGCCATCCAAGAAGTGCTGTTGAGAATGTCTGATTAAGAATGTGCCAGAGGAGGGCTTCCCTGGTGGCGCAAGGGGTTAAGCACGGCGCTATGAGGCAATCCACAGCCTGGGCAGCACAGTTTTATGGATCCCAGCCGGCCAGGGAGCTACCCACATGGCACAGCAGACCTCTCCTGTCTGGGCCACTGCTGCCCTCAGCAGTGTATTTCAGTCAGTCTGCCTGTTCTACTCCCCGCTCTGTCTCTGGTGAATCCACTCACCCCTCATCTCTGGCCTGTACCCCAGCTCTTGTATGCATAAATAAATAAATCTTAAAAAAAAAAAAGAGAGAGAGAGAATGTGCCAGAGGGGATCAGGCGGGCCGGGCGGTGGGCCTCACACCGCCGCCGAGGTCTAGCCCAAGCTTCTCACCAACCCCCCACCCCCCCCCACCCCGTGCCCCCCTCAGACCTCGGGAAAAGACAGACAAGTTCCGGGTTCCCTCCGCGGCCAGGCCGAGTGGGCGGGGTGCGGCTCACTGACGGGCGCCTCTCACCTCTCCCTGACGACAAACAGACGGCAATGGACGGCATCCCCACGGGGCTCCCCGTCGCCCCACGTCCCCGCGGGCACGCCTGTCATCTCCCCTCCCCCGCCCCCCCCCATCGCCCGCAGACACCAGCGCCCCTCCCCGCCGCTCTCTCCGTCATGATCCACCTCCCCGGTGACCGTGAGGACCCTGAGGCCGGGAGGGGCAGGGGCCCGTGCGAGGCCACCCCCAGCGCGCGAGGCCACCCCCAGCGCGCAAGGCCACCCCCCAGCGCGCCCCTCTTCGCATCGCCCTCCCAGGTACAAGGAAGTCAAAGAGGAGCTGGAGGAGCTGGACCGCATCACGGAGCAGACGCTCTTCGACCTCTACAAGTACAACTCCTCCAGCACCCTGGGGGCCCATCCCCGCGCCCGCCGGGGCTCCGCGCCCCCCTGCCGCACCCCCTGCAGCGCCTGCCGGCCCCGCCCCCGCCGCGCCGCGCCCGCAGCGCCGCCTCCAGCGTGCGCGACAACGGCCCGCAAGTGAACAGGAAGGACTGGAAGATCGGCTTCCAGATGGTGAGCCCCGCCCCGGGGCCCCCCCGCCCCCACTCCCCGCCCCTCCGCCCTCCCACTCCCCGCCCCCCAGACACCCCGCGCCCGCGCGCGCCCAAGCCTGGTGACGCCCACACTCGGGCGGGGCTCCCTCTCCCCACCCCGACTCTGCAGCCGCGCTATTCGCACGGACCTTGGCGCCCAAATTAAATAGCATCCGCAGCTTGGGGGCTCCCCTCTGTGAGAGCGGCGAAGCCCAGGGGAGTCAAGTCTCCAGTGGCAGCAAATGCGCTTTTCTGAATTCGTCTCCCACTGGGGGGCTCCGTTGGGACCCTCCCCTCCGGTGTCACGGGGAACCGAGACTCTGCCAGCCAAAGACACGGAGTAAGGAGACAGTAAAAAGGAGAATTAAAAAAAAAGTTTATAGAAATAAAAGGGAGATTAGAGGAAATGGGAGAGAATCCGAGGGAAGAAGAAACCCCCCCTTTAAAAAGATTCATACAGGGCCTCCCTGTGGCACAAGGGGTGAAGACGCAACCTATGAAGCTGTCTGCAGCCTCGGCAGCTCGGGTTCCATCCCCGGGCCAGACAGGGAGATACCCACATGGCGCAGCAGACCTCTCCTGCCGCTCCCCTCAGCAGTGTGTTTCAGTCCGTCTGCCTGTTCTGTTCCCTGCTCTGTCTCTGGTGAATCCTCTCATCCCCCACACCTCTGGCCTGTACCCCAGCTCTTGTGTGGTTAGGTGAATTTAAAAAAAAATAAAAATAAATAAAAAGAGTCATACAAAACAGCCCCCCACCCCGGAAAAGAAAAGGCCCCCTTTAGTGTCAAAGGCCCCCTTTAGTGTCCTAGAATTCCAGGACACAGGAATTCTAGTTCCAGCTCTGTTGCTGGGACAAACCTTGATTGCTTTTCAGTGGAAGGGAGAGAAGCGTCCCTGCCCTCCAGCAGAAACCGCTGTTTCACAGCTTCTGGTTTCCTCCCCGCTGCTCCCTTAATTCCTTACTCTCTGGTCTGCTGTCCTGGTCCTCTCTCTCGGTATGTCTGCTTCCTTCTGCCTTCTGATCTCCCTAACTTCTGGCTCCCATGCCTGTCTATCAATCCCGGGGACCACAGACCATTGATTCCTTGGCACTGCCCTGTTGAGGGTCCCTGCTGCTGGCCCTCTGAGTTTCTGGTCTCTGTGTCCAGTGCAACCAGAACAAATCGGACTGCTTCTACCAGACGTACTCATCAGGGGTGGACGCGGTGAGGGAGTGGTACCGCTTCCACTACATCAACATTCTGTCGCGGCTGTCAGCTACCTCTCCCACCCTGGAGGAGGATGCACTGGGCAACTTCATCTACACCTGCCGCTTCAACCAGGAATCCTGCAACCAGGCGTGAGTCCATCCTGCCTGACTTTGTGCTCCTGGGGAGGAGGAGCGGGGTGGGGGGTGAGGTGGAGACTCTTTCCCTGGGCCAGCCCGTACCTAGGAAATGCTTGTTGACTAAATAACCTGGTAGGAGGGGGAAGCATGGACCTGGGTCCAAACCTCTGCCCCAGCAATCAGCCTGCAGGGCTTGCTGCTCACTGCAAGGCTGCATCTGAAAGAAAACCAGCCAGTTACCTGCACATACCCTGAGGAGGGTGGGCTGCTCTTTGTCATCTAATCCAGAAGTGCCTGGAAAGTCATCTGGTTCCATACTCCACCTTCACAGGCCAGGTGGGCAGTGATGGTGGAAATGGCTTGGATTAAGCAAGGGATGAAGCCTGAGTTCCTGCTCTGGCTCTGCTCCATCCCTTCCAGGGGCATTTCACTCTGTGAGGTTATTTCTATGTAAAATAGGGTAAAAAATGAGATTCATTCAATGTTTATTCAACCAATATTTTTGACTATCTAGGCTTTGCTGGTCACAGTTTTGGGATACACCAAAGGAGGGGAATGTATGTGTGTGTGTGAGTGTGTGTGTGTGTGTGTGTGTGTGTATAATCCTTGCCCTTTTGGCACTTTACTCAAGTAATAAAGATGATGATAATACCCACCTCAAGAGTTTTGCAAGGTGCATGAGAAAAGTGTGAAGGCAGGTTGTCAACTGCCATTGAATAATGGGGCTCTGACTCTGGCATTCAAGCAGGTGGAATGATTGTCCCAGGTCACTGGGCCACCCTAGTGAAGGGCCCCTCTCCACTCTACTGCAGTGCCCACCAGGCATCCTTTCTGTTATGACCCCTGCCATAAAGTCCTTGCATACAGGACATGATGGCTCTGAGGTCTCTGAGGACTAGGAGATTAGGAGTAAGGGGGGGGGTCCCCTTCCATCGCCTCTGATGCCTGCCCTCCCCTCCCTACTTCTGTGCCTCAATTTTCAGGCGCTGTCGGCTTCCTCTGCCTAGCTGAGGAACGCTGAGGAAGAAGGCAGCCTCTCCACTCTGCAGAGCGCCCTTCCCTCCAATGTCACTGCAGAATGACAGTGGTGCCAGGTGTCACCTGCTCCTACCCCCACTCCTCACCTGGTACACATGCTCTGCCCAGCCCACAGTTAGTTTTGTTCTTGTCTCTGGAGTTTGTTTGTTTGAGGACAGAGGATGCCAGCTGGGAGGTGAGACACAGCAGTACCTGAGCCTGGGTCTGCCCACACTTGCCACCAAGTCTCCCTGTCACCTTCCCACCCATCTCCTTTAGCGTGCCTCCTGCTCCTCTGTCCCCACCAACGGAAAGTCCAGAGTTCATCTTGACACTTAGGTCATTTCCTTAGCTCAGAGCCTTATCATTTCTTGTCTGGGTTATTATAACCCCCGCCACCCCCAAATCCTGCTTTCATTCTGCAACTGCAGGAAGCTTTCTTTATGCTTTACTCTTCTTACTTCACTTTTTGGACTTAAGTATTCCAGTTTGTCCTGTTTACTCTCCCTGGACGCCCTTATGACCTTTAGGATCCAGCTGAAGTTCTATATCATGACTCCATCCCTCATTTCCCCCCTCCAAATCCTTTTCCCTTCTCTCTAGAATTTTCAATAACAGCTTTATTGAGATATAACTCACATACCATAAAAGTCATCCTGTTAATATGTACAATTCAGTGGTTTTTATATACACAGAACTGTGCAACTGCAACTATCATCTCTAACTTTAGAAAATGTTCTTCACCACCCCAAAGAAACCCTCTGCTCACTAGCAGTCATTTCCTCCTCCTTCCCCATCTCCACTAATCACCTTCTTTCTGCCTCTGTGGAGTACCTGCTGTGGACATTTCATAGAAGTAGAATCATACAATATGGGATCTTTTGTATCTGGCTTCTTTCACTTACCATGTTTTCAAGGTTGCAGTGTGTGTCAGTGCTTCTTTTTCACGGCTAAATACTATTCCATCGTATAGCCATGCCACATTTTGTTGTGCCATTGTTTCCTTTGTTGATGGACATTTGTGTTGTTTCCACTTTTTGGCGATCATGCACAAAGCTGCTGTGAACATTCCTGTGCAGGTTTTTGTTCACATGTAGATTTTCGTTTCTCTTTAGTATGTACCTAGAAGTGGAATTGCTACGTCACATGGTAATTCTATATTTACTATTTTGAGGAACTGCCCTGCTGTTTTCCAAGTGACTGTACCATCTATATTCCCTACAGCAGTGTGTGAAAGCTGCAAACTCATCACAACCTCTACTCCTTATTGTCTTTTTGATCTTGGTCATCATAATGAATCCCTATAATTATAATAGCAAACATACATTGCTTGTATTAAGTGCTCAGTACTGTCCTAAGTGTAACTGAATCCTCACTAGCCCCACATTATGAGGGGCCAGTCCTCACTGTTATCCCCACTTACAGGTGAGGAAGCTCCAGCCCAGAGAGATTAGAAAATGTGGTCGAGCCCCCTGCGCACACTTGTTAGAGCTAGGATTCTAGCTCTAACTAGAAGGACTCTAGCTTGGAGTCTGTGTGCTTACCCATCACCTCATGTCATGCCATTACTCATGTATTCTCGTGATGCGCCTAACCTTGTGTTTTTGCAAAATGTGTAGGTCATGTGTGCATACATGTATTGTGGTCTAGATCTCCTTTCCCCTAAGCTCTGTTTTTGTGATTCATCCCTGTTGCTCCATCTAGCCCACTGACTCCACCTGCCCCGTACAGCCCATGGGGGGTATCCACTGTATTATACTTGTCCCCCTGAGCCAGGCACACAGGCCCTTCGGGACTGGCCTGTGTCGCTTCTGCAGCCCTTCTTCCATCCTTTCTTGAATGCAGGCTTCCTGGCAACTTCTAGAATGTGCACTGATATTTCACACCTCTGTGCCTTTGTTCTTTGAGAAGAACAATTTGTTCTTTGAGGACTATTCCAGTGGAATCATGCACCGCCAATCTCCTTATTTTTCGCAGGGGAGAATAAGTACAGAAAAAAAATGACTTGCTTAAGATCAGACAAGCAGAGCCTCCCTGGTGGCACAAGGGGTTAAGCAACACACTATGAAGCAATCCGCAGCCTCTGCAGCATGAGTTCGATCCCCAGCCGGCCAGGGAGCTACCCACATGGCACAGCAGACCTCTCCTAACTTGCCTGCTGCTCCCCTCAGCTATGTGTTTCAGTCAGCCTGCCTGTTCTGTTACTCACTCTGTCTCTGGTGAATCCTCTCACCCCCCGCATCTCTGGCCTGTACCCCAGCTCTTGTATGCATAAATAAATAAATCTTTAAAAAAAAAAAATCAGACAAGCAGAGGCCTACTCCTAATCTCTAGCCAGCCTTCCTCTCCCTCCTGCTTCCTTCCATCCCTCCTCTGCCTCTCACAGGCTAAAAACCCCATGTTCCTTCTCTCCCTTCTCTCTCCTGTCCCTGCTCCCATTACCAGCTTTAAGAGGCAGAGTATTAAGAACACAGATCCCTTTGGTTCCCGTCTGGGCTCTCGCTACAACCCTACACAGCCTCTCTGTTTGGGAACTTATGACAAAGTGCATTCCTGTTTCAGCAACTGCCTCTGTGATTCTTTCTCTCCGTTTCAAAACCTGCACAGCCCAGCTTGTGGCCTGCTGGTGGGAGACCTGCTGATGCACATGGTCTTGTCCCTGCCTTGAGACCTGACCTTCTTCCTCTCGGCTCCATCTCAGCACCAACTCACTCTCTCCTCTAGCCCTGTTCCCTTCCATGTCTGCATTTGTTTAATCCACTCATTAACCATTTATAACAACCACCTATATCTGCCATATGCCAAGATCTGTGCAATTCACCCAGAGATGATATAGAGGTACATGAGATGTGGCCTGGCCGTAAAAAGATCACAATCTAAATGGAGAACTAAGATTTAGATACATGAGAAGCTGGGGACATTGCAAGAGTCTTCATAACACAACACAAGGAGAGAGGCCACCAAGCCAGTGAGGTCATGTGGCCTGGTGGGAGGAGCCTGGGCCAGGAGCTGAAATTTTGTCCTCACTGTTTGTGTGACCTTGGGCAACTGTTTGACCTCTCTGAGCCCTGGCTTCCTCTTCTGTGATGTGGGGAAGATGCCCACGTAGGCAATTGGTGGGAGTGTGGACAGAGCCCCTAGGTGGTCAGGAAATGAACTATTGTGAAAGTTTTGTTCTCCCTGTGTGATTACACTCTCTTCTCTGACCCTACTCTTGCTCTCTCTCTGATAAGGAATTACTCTCAGTTCCACCACCCAATGTATGGCAACTGCTACACTTTCAATGACAAAAATAACTCCAACCTCTGGATGTCATCCATGCCTGGAATCAACAATGGTGAGCAAGCCCATGTTTCCTTTGTCCCTGCTGGCCCTGTCCACCTGCATGTGCCCACCATGAGCTTGCATTCCCGAGATGCTCTGCCCCTCTGTGCCTCACCACTTCATGCCTGTTTTAACCCAGAAAGGCACCCTAAAGTCCATTCCGGGTGTGATAGGAATCCTGTCCCAGTTCTTCCTGCCTCCCTTCCAGAATCCAACTGGGGGGGGGCAGGTGCCAGATTGGTCTATAGGTCTTCCTGGCCTTGCTCCCCTTGGAGTATCAGAGACAGAGCAAGGTGTGGAGTGGGTTTCCATCCCTAATGCTCCATCTTCCTCCACTCCCTCTGTGCCTCCAGGTCTGTCTCTGACAGTGCGCACAGAGCAGAACGACTTCATCCCGCTGCTGTCCACGGTGACCGGGGCCAGGGTCATGGTGCACGGCCAGGATGAGCCTGCCTTTATGGATGATGGCGGCTTTAACTTGCGGCCTGGTGTGGAGACCTCCATCAGCATGAGGAAGGCAAGGAGCTGACTGCAAGTCTGGGAGGAGACCCTCAGATTGGAGAGGGGCAGGGCGGTGGACTTAGCCTCCAAAAGCCTGTGGAGGAAGGTCAGGTGTGGGGAGGGGGGGTGGTGGTACTTGAATATGAGGAGGTCTTCAGGAGCAGGGTTTGGCAGAATGTGCACTAGGAAGCTGGGCCCAGAGGAGTGGACCTGGAGTGAGAGAGAGGGCTGAGAATGGATTCAGGACAAGCATCCAGGGCAGGCTGTGTCCAGATTTTTGGGGCCTTGAAAGTAGCACTGAGGCATTGAGGGCCACTGGGAGCTTGTTTTGAAATGGGAGGCAGATGGGGTGACTGGCTGGTGAGAGACACAACTTGGGACCAGACAGAAGACAGGACTCAGGAAGAGGCTGGGCTGCTTGCACTGAACTCTGACTTCTTTGTGTCTGTGGGGTTTGCAGGAAGCCCTGGACAGACTTGGGGGCGATTATGGTGACTGCACTAAGGATGGCAGTGACGTCCCTGTGAAGAACCTTTACAAGTCTTCCAAGTACACGCAACAGGTGAGGGCCACACCAGTTGATGGGGCACCGCCTCCCAGGCCTGCACTGTGAATCGGGCAGAGTCAGAGGGTGTGGGGTGGGGAGACCACTGCAGAGAGGAGTGGAGGTGGACTGTGGGCTGTTTGCATTCCCTGCTCTCCTCTGCCCTGTCAGGGCTGTTTCAGGCAGGCAGTCTGACCCTCTTTGCCCTTCACCGCCCACCCCTCCAGGTGTGCATTCACTCCTGCTTCCAGGAGAGCATGATCAAGGAGTGCGGCTGCGCCTACATCTTCTACCCTCGGCCTGACGGTGTGGAGTTCTGTGACTACAGGAGGCACGACTCCTGGGGTGCGACTCCTGGGCCTTCCTGCCTCCCCCACCCCGGCTCTTGTCTGAGCTAGGACTTTTCCAAGCCCTCCAAGCTCTCGAGGCCTCCTGTTTGGGGTGGAGGTGGGGGCTGGTTCCCCCCGAAGGAATCATTTTTCCTCCCTCTCTTGTTTACCTATTTGAGACACTGCCTCAGTTTTCCTCTCACTGCCTGTCTCTCTCCTCTCTCTCTGTTCCTCCCTCAGAGTTTCTCTCTCTGTTTTGGCTTCTGTGTGTCTATAATGGAACAGCCCTGTTGAAAGCTAACTTCAGCTTAAGGAAGGAAGAGCACATGAGGAGTTTCCCTGGTTCCGCACTGGGCCTGCTGAGGCTTCAGAGGCTTCAGAGGCTCTGATGGGCCCTTCCCCGCTTGCTCCTGAGGCGCTGGATGCAGGAAGAACATACTAGAAGTTTTATGTGTCTGTTTCATTCCCTAAAATCTTCCATTTTATGTATGTTTTCTAGTACAGGTACTATTACCCTCCAATAGTTGTAGGCTTGTCATTTGTAAACCAAATCCATATCCTGGAATTGCTTATTTAAGAATTGTTTCCCTAGGGAAGGGCATAGTCAGAAAACACTGGAGAACCCTGGAATCTCTTCCCTGGTCTTGTCTAGGAGTAGACAGACCTCTTTTCCTTTTCAATACAGCTGAGTTATTCATCAGGAAGGCTTTACCCTAGGAAGCTGAGAGAGGAAGAAAATCTCAAACAAGGAACTAGAGAAATTAGAGTGTTGGTTTTGGGGTGCATATGCTTTTGTCTGGCACCATTGGGGTCCTCCTCCCTGGGCTCCCTGGGCCCATCTCTCCACAGTAGGGGGTGGGCTTACCTTTGCTGGAGGACCAGGTTGGGGGTACTGCAGTCCCCAGAATTCAGTGTCCACCCTTGTCCCAGCTCTGGCCGCACTGACCTCCTGCTTACTTTCTTCCCCGGGCCTGCCCCCTCGCCCACCATTGCCCCGTGTCCTGTGTCTCTAGCCTTGGAGGATGCTGATGCGTCAGAGCTGGAGGGAAGATCCGGTTCCAGGCCCCACCTCCTCCCTTCACGGATGAACAAGTGGGGGCCCAGCCAGAAGATGTCCTGTCCCGAGACAATCAGGGGCTCCTGGCTCACTGCTCCCCACGACAATGATTACTAAGTGGTTGTGTGTTTGAAGATCCGTGAGAGGAGACTAAGAATACTGACTGCTGAGAAGCTGTAGGATGAGGGAGAGGAACTCGGCTAAACACAGTCTGCCTTGTGTCTTAGGACTGCTTGCTGCTCAGCAGCCTCCAGGTCTTCCTACAGGTCCCCAGCCCTGAGATGAGAGACTTCTGGAGGGGGTGACTAAAAGAGCAAGAATGACAAACTAACCTCAGAACTTGGGAAACAGTGGAGGAGGAGGCTCCATAAACCCATTCTCTCCCTCTTTTTAGCAACTTTATAGAGATAATTCCTAGCCCGGAGAAGGTACCCACTTAGCGTGCACAATTCAGTTTAGTTTAGTGTAGTTGTTAGTAGACATAGAATTACGCAACAATCGCCACAACCAAATTTAGAAATTTTTATCACTCTAAGGAGAAACTTTGTACCTATGTATTCATCTAAACGTCCTGTTCCCTGCCCCATGGGCCTCTCCCTACCCTGCCCCCATCCTGGCATTCTTTGCTGTCTGTCTCTATACACTTGCCTATTCTGAGCATTGCATATAAACAGAATCATTTGGTCTGTGATCCTTTAGGATTGCCTTCCTTTACTTGGCCTGTGTTTTCTTTCTTTTTTAAAAGCTTTATTTATGCATACAAGAACTGGGGTGTAGGCCAGAGGTGCTGGGGGTGGGGGTGGTGAAAGGATTCACCAGAGACAGACTGAGGTACAGAACAGGCAGAATGACTGAAATACACTGCTGAGGGGAGCAGTGGGCGAGACAGGACAGGTCTGCTGCACCCGTGTGGGTAGCTCCCTGGCCAGGGATCTAAATTGTGCTGCAGTGGCTGCACATAGCTTCATAGTGCTGAGACTGAACCCCTTGTGCCACCAGGGAGGCCCCGCTTTTCTTTCTTTGAAAGATTTATTTATTTGTAGAAGAACTGGGGTGTAGACCAGAAGTGCGTGGGGTGATGATTCACCAGAGACAGAGTGGGGAGCAGAACAGGCAGATCTACTGAAATGCACTGCTGAGGGGAGCAGCGGGTGAGACAGGAGAGGTCTACTGCTCCAGGTGGGTCGCTCCCTGGCCGGGGATCGAACTCATGCTGTTGTGGCTGTGGATAGTGTCATAGGTTGCGTCTTAATCCCTTGAGCCACCAAGGAGGCCCCTGGCCTACATCTTTACAGAGGCATAATGTAGAGGCATGAGTTGTTAATGTTTTATCTGACTTAGCTAAATTTCTGAAACATTTTTTGGGGCTGTTATATAGGAGGCATTGCTTTAATGCACATGATGCTCTTGGAAAGTGGGTGCTCAGGGAACCTCTTAGATGTGGGTTAGAGAAAGTTGAGGGGTCCTAGGAAAATACGCATTCTCTCTACCCACAGGTTACTGCTACTATAAGCTCCAAGATGCCTTCTCCTCGGACCGCCTGGGCTGTTTCACCAAGTGCCGGAAGCCTTGCAGGTGAGTGTCCTCTTTCTGGGGCGCATGTTGGGCTGTTGACTGTCTGGTTGGGTAGAAAACAGGATACTCAGAGGAGCCTTGAGTGGGAGAGCCTCACCCTATCACTGAGCACCTTTCTGTACCTCCAGTGTGACCAGCTACCAGCTCTCTGCGGGATATGCGCGATGGCCCTCGGTGACATCCCAGGTAAAGCGAGGGAGGCAGTAGTCAGGGCCATGAGACCGTGCCCAGCCCTGTAAGCATGAGGAGGATGGGGGTGGCCCCATTAACACCCCCATTCCTTCTAGGACTGGGTTTTCCAGATGCTCTCCCGACAGAACAATTACACCATCAACAACAAGAGGTCAGTGCTGCCCTGTCCTGCCCCTCGGAAAGGGATCCATGGGAAGGAAAGAGGAGTGGGTACCATTGATTGGAAGGTATTTGCGAGTCCCGGAAGATAATCCTCTGTCATTCCTATCCCCTCCCACCCACGCCCCAAAGAAATGGAGTTGCCAAACTCAACATCTTCTTCAAGGAGCTGAACTACAAAACCAATTCCGAGTCGCCTTCAGTCACAGTATGTCCTGGCTCCCTGAGACTGTGATTCTTTTGGAGGGTCTTAGCTGTCAGGGAAAATTAGGGGGTAGAGGTGCCTGGGCCTGGAATGCAGGAGACCAAGGAAAGGAGCCCAGAAGCAAGGGTGAGCTTGAGAGGGTTGGAAGAAGGATGCGAGGGAATAAAGTTTGGGGGCACAGGGAAGGGTGTGCAGGCGGGCATGCCTTGGATAAGAGTCGGGGGTGGGGGGGTAACACAGCGAGGGAACAAATGAATGAGGTGGCCAGTACAGAGGAATGGGCTCTCCTGCTGGAGCCCACCCGGAGCTCCCCGCCCAAATGGTCAGTGTGCTTTTCTCCCCTCACAGATGGTCACCCTCCTCTCCAATCTGGGCAGCCAGTGGAGCCTGTGGTTTGGCTCCTCCGTGCTGTCTGTGGTGGAGATGGCTGAGCTTATCTTCGACCTTCTGGTCATCACATTCCTCATGCTGCTCCGGAGGTTCCGCAGCCGATACTGGTCTCCAGGCCGAGGAGGCAGGGGTGCCCGGGAGGTGGCCTCCACCCCAACTTCCTCTCTCCCCTCCCGTTTCTGCCCCCATCCCTCCTCGCCCTCCTCAGTCCCACCAGGCCCTGCGACAACCCTGGCCTTGACAGCCCCTCCACCTGCCTATGCCACCCTGGGGCCCCGCCCAACGCCTCCAGGCTTGGTGGACCCCAACTCTTCTGCCTCTGCTGGAGAGGGGCTCTGAGGAGGGGGAGAATGTCTTCTCCCCCAGGCAGGCATCTCCTGGGAGGGCGGGACCAGCCTTGGCAGGATTAAAGAATGTTTTGGGCTTCTCTCAGAGTCCAGTTGCCTCTGGTGTGGGGAAGGGAGCAGGATGGACAAGAGATTATAGAAATGGCCAGCAGAACCGGGGCCAGGGAAGCTGCCCAGAACTGTCCTGGCTTCTTCCCCCTGCAACCTGGTCCTGCCTCTAGAACACTCTGGTTTCCTTATCCAAGCGCAGACAACTCTCCTTTTCCCTCAGATCAGGCAAGCCAGACTTGGAGCTGTGACAAGGAGCTTGCTTAGGAGACATGAGATAGTCGAGCACAAAACATAAACAAGGACACACAAAGGCAGGGACAGGTTTCCCGCCCAAGAGTGATCGCAGCCAGCCCCACTGGCCTGGTCACACTGTTTCCCGTGACACATACATTTGTTCTGCTTGAACTTGGGTGGGGAACCTCACCCAAAAGCCATCTTGTTTAGTTCATGTCAATTCCACTTCCCTAACTCTCCAGGGCAGGGGCTGGAGCAGATAACGTAGTAAAGGTATGACTATACTCAGCCCCAGGACTCATCCTGTGTCACCTGCCCCATGACCCCACAGAGCCACACCCTAGCAGCTCTGCCCTCTATCCTTCATGACACATTGGCCTCTGCCAAGCATATTTTCTCAACCTATTTTCTTAGGCTGGAAGCTTCCCCTACCATCTACTGGCAAACTCCTATGCATCCCTTAGAACCCTCCTCAGGCACCACCACTTATGTGAGGGTTTATGCCATATCTTGTTTTCTGTAGAACTGATGACTCTCCCTCCCCTGGATTCCTTCAGCACTGGGTAACATCTGTTGGAGCACTGATGTAGCAGTCACTTTTCTTGCTCATTTGTGTCCTCTCCCCGACTAGACTGTGAATTCCTTGTGATTAGGGACTGAGCCTTGTTCATTTTTGTATCCTCAGGGTCTAGCCCAGTGTCCCACTTGGAACAAGTAGGCAGTTGCTCAATAAATGTTTGTCACATAGAGGACTGTCTGGAGAGCTGGATGGGGCCACAATGAAGGGGATGGGCAGTGGATACAAGTCACTGCCTAAGCTTTGGGGAGATTCTGGGCTAGGAGAGGGGCCAGGCTCCCATACTCCTTGACTTCATTATGGAACTGACATTCTTCAGGAGCCTCAGGAGAGACAACTGTGCTGCTAGCTCCTTCCTGCTGGTGCTGATGAACCTTTGCTATGTCATGTGCCCATCACCATGACAGGGTGAAGCATAAAGACAAGGTGCAGTTTCCCTCAGAAGACCTGTGCAGTGTGTGGGAGGACACCCCTGTCCAATGTCTGAACCTCCTTTTCTGTCCCGGCTTGAGTTACCATCCTCAGTTCCCCTCCACTGGAGACCACACTGGAGACCACTCACCACCAACTGCACCCTAACCTCTCCATCTGCCTACTTCCCTTCCCATCAATGGCACTGGAGTGGGGGGGGGGAGAGGAGACTCAGGCCAGTTTCTCCAGGAACCTCGGGGTCTTAAATATATTCTCATTCTCCATCATAATCATCAGAGAGAGAGAGAGAGAGAAAGAGAGAGAGAAGCAGAGGGAATCCCCCCAAGTTTAACAAAGGAGAAGTTGAGGGGTGTCCAAGTGGAAGCCAGTTTTCTGTCCCCCAGTTCCCCCCACCCCAGCATCAGACCTGGAACTCAGAAGTTACCGTTTCTCATCTTTAAGGAGGCTTCCCCTGCTGCTGCCACCTACTCCCTTAATTACAGCCTCCCTGCCCCCCCCCCCACAAAAAAAAACCAGAAACAAAGGTCACAGCCTGGAACGGGTGTGCAAACTTCTGACTTCCCTTTCTCACACAAGCTGATGAAGGGAAAATGATGTCACAACAGTCCCCTGGCCACGTCCCTCAGGTTCAGCCTTCCTCTCATCTGCTCTGCTGTTCTCCGGCCACAGCTCAGCCTCCGCCTTGCTCACCTCCTTCCCGGCCCCCACCCCTCTGCCTGGGGCTGGCAGGGCCTGCTGGACCAAGCTGGACCCCTTGTGGATGACAGAGGCCGGTCACACTGCCTCCCCGCCTCCCCACGCTCACTCCTGGCCTGTGATTTTGACCCTGAGAAATTGTCTTCTCTCCACCCCTCAGATACTCGGGCCCCAGGGTTAGGAGTTAGGGTGCTAAGGAGAAGCTTTTCAGTTGCTTCATTTTCCTCGTGGAGGTTCGCGGGTGAAGGGGGCTTGCCCGAGTTCATCATTCTTACACAGTCTGGAACCCAGGTCTCTTGATATGACCCTCCTGGCTTGTGAGACCTGCGATGTGACTCCTGAGACACGTGGGGCTGGAACCAGAACCCACGCCACTCCGACTTGGAGGCCAGTGCCCCAAGCTGCTCAGTGTGGCTGTGTGTGTGTGTGTGTGTGTGTGTGTGTGTGTGTGTGTGATGTGATGGGGAGTGGGGGTCTATTCTCTCAAGCTCTTTGCCCTTTATCCTTTGTTCCACAAACCCTGATCACCAATCCCATCATCTCCCAGTTTGCCCACCTCCTGTTTCTCTCCCTCTCAGCATATTTCTTCTTCCCGCTGAGAGATGATAGTCATATTCTCACCTCCTCTGAGACCAGTTAACTCTTCATATTCCTGCATCTACTCACCTTTCACTACCTTTTTTAAAACAAATTTACTGAACAATTTAATATTTCTCCAAACTTTAAACTTACTGAATAATAGTTACTTGAACCACCGCCCCCCCCATGAAAGAATTTCTCCTTTTGTGCCGGACTATTAAAAATCCCTGGTCACGGGCCTCCCCGGTGGCGCAGCGGTTGAGCGCTGGGTTGTGAAGCTGCCCGCAGCCCCTGCGGCGCCGGTTCGATCCCCGGCTGCTCCCCGGCCACCGGAGGAGGGTCCCACATGGCACGCAGACCTCTCCTGCCGCCCGCTGCTCCCCTCAGCAGTGTACTTCGGTCCTTCTGCCTGCTCTGCTCCCCGCTCTGGCTCTGGTGAATTCTCTCACCCTCCCGCGCTTCTGACTGTACCCAGTGCATGTATAAATAAATAAAATAAATCTTTAAAAAAAAATTGTTTAAAAAAAAATGCCTGGTCACATGAAAAATGGGACTTTGCTGTGGTTATCAATTATTAATACAAAGGATTACTTACGGAATGCTCAGTGTATGGCAAGCACTTGCTAAATACTCTGCATTTAATCATCAACGCATATGAGATGTGACTCTTCTTGCTTCTTTACATTGGAAACTGAGCAATCTGACTCTTGCTAATGATCTTGCTTCTTCATCAGCTCTGCTCTGGACCCCCAACTCTGCTCTGGCCCCCCTCATGCTGTACTCTGCCTCCCTGGGAGTTGGTGGGTGAGCTCCTTTCTCTGTGAGTCTGGCTTCAACCCTCAGGTTCTTTGGAAGCTGGAAGCTGGAGTGAAGTGAGAGGTGGGGACCATTCATGCTCCCTTCTCACCTACAGGTGCCTGTCTCATAGAGGAGAGGCCAGGAGGGGCCAGAAAGCATGGACTTCAGGGTGAGGGGTCAGCTGGAGGATCCGGGGGAGAAGTGCAGAGAAATGTAACATTCTAGGACCTTACTCTTCTCTGGTCTCCCCAAATTTCTAAGCAATCTTAGCAGCCAGAGGCTCTCAGGCTGGGAATAGGGAAGGTTATTGTGCCTGTGTCAAGGTCACTGTATGGGGTTCATTGGGGAGATATCCTGTACAAGTGGCAGTGATAAACATGCCCAAAAAATTCAGGGTGTGAGGTCTGACTCCACAGGACAGATAGGGGCCTCCATGGTGGTGCAAGGAGTTAAGTCTCAGCACTACGAAGCTTCGAAGCTTCGGTATCCACTGCAGCAAGAGTTTGATCCCCAGGCAGGGAGGAGACCCTCCTGTCTCGCCCACACTCCCCTCAGCAGTGTATTTCAGTCGATCCTCTCGTTCTGCTCCCCACTCTGTCTCTGGTGAATCCTCTCACCCCCGGCACCTCTGGCCTATACCCCAGTGCTTGTATGCATAAAATAAGTAAAATAAATCTTAAAAAACAAAAACAAGATAGATAGAAAAATGGAGTTCAAAATGGGCCCTTGGACTGAAGTTAGGAGCCCGGTGTCTTGCTGGTTCTGTCAGGAAAATGCTGTGTGTATGTATGGACCCCAGTTTTTCATCCGTAAAACAAGGCGGTTGCAGTAGATCAGCTGTGACAATTAAAGAGAATTTTGTTGAGTAAACGAGTTTATTAAAGAACCACAGTGAGGAGTCCGGGAATGCTCCAGAGGTCTCTGATTTCAGAGTCTCAGTGAAATTTGCTCAGTAAGGTTACAGTGAACTTTTCAGGAAAGATTAGGGTAGGGGCCCAGTTTATGTTTTCTGTCTGATGTTATTTATGAACTGAGGAGGACAGGCAGGGTAGCTAAAGCTACCCTATCTTTTTTTTTTTTTAAAAGAGGCATGTATTTTTATTTTATTTGTTTGTTTGTTTGTTTGTACATGCACTGGGTATAGTCAGAAGCACGGGAGGGTGAGAGAATTCACCAGAGCCAGAGTGGGGAGCAGAGCAGGCAGACTGATGAAGTACACTGCTGAGGGGAGCAGCGGGCGGCAGGAGAGGTCTGTGCGCCATGTGGGACCCTCCTTTGGTGGCCTGGAGCAGCCGGGGATCGAACTGGCACCGCAGAGGCCGCGGGCAGCTTCGCAACCCAGCGCTCAACCACTGCACCACCGGGGAGGCCTGCTACCCTATCTTTTTTAGAAAAAACATCTTCTGGGAACACTGGGGGATGTGTGAAGCCCTAAATCATGGAGTCGATATTCCTTCGACGTTCTTGATTTACTGGAGAGGTGGCATGCTTTCCCAGGGGCACCTTCTTCAAAGGGCCAGACCAGCTGTGCCTTGTCTTTCAAACTTTCCTGCCAATGGAGAATGACACTGGGGTTGTATTAACTTTGTTAGTTAACAGCTCTAGGGTCCATTGAGATTGACATACATTAGACTATTTGGGGAAGGGCTCTGGGAACACACTAGTAATATCTGATGGAGGAAGCTGTCATTTCCAAAGCGTTTTCACAGATGTGACCTCCATTATCCTCATGCCATCACTTTCCCCAGGCAGGTAGGCTGGGCACTGTTACTCTTACTTAATAGATGAGGAACTGAGGTTCTCTGAGGTCTGGGGCAAGGGAGGTTCAACTCTTGTGGGTACCCAGGCAGCAGCTGGAGGACCCAGCCAGGCAAAGACAGTGGTGGTGGCAAAGGTGATGTTATGGGGCTTCACCGACTCAGAGCAGGACACTAAGGTTAGGATTCACTCAGGTTTAGTTTGGAGGGATAATTGCCCAAGAAAATGGGAGGTTAGGGTGTCAGTTGGGAAGCATTACTAAGGAACATCTATCAGCTGTCAAGTACTTATTTGTCCCTGCTCAATAAATCCTACAGCACCCTTAGGAGGTGAGTTCTTTCCAATTGGGGAAGAGGCTTAGAGCGTTTCTCCAAGACCACCCAGCCAAAAAGTAGAGGACTCTGAACTGGGACTCAGTGACTCCCAAGCTGTGGGTCTTTCTATTGCTGTTCTTTTGGCAAAGGGGCAGGAGAAGGGGTAAGCTAAGCAGGAGGGGGGTGGTGGTGGTGCATTTTGGTTGGGAGTGTTCAGATTGGTGGGTTAGGGGCACAAGGCACTTGGATCTGGCACTCTGGTACCTGTGGCTGAGCCACTAAGAGTTAAAGAACTTTTGCCTCCCTGCCTCTTAACTCCTCCCACCTCCTCCCCCGGCTCTTCCTGTCTTGCTTGCAACACCCCAAGTGCTCTCTCCCTTCCCCTCCCACCTCCTCTCTCCTCCTCGGGTTAATTTTCTCCGAGTTCTCTGGACTCAGGCTCCAGTTCTGGCCTTCAGGGTTTGAGGTTCTGGGGACCAGGTGGTGATCTACCCCCTAGTCTCAACCCTCAATCCCCAACCTATGTCCTGGGATCCATTTGGACCCAACACATTCCAGGACTCCGGTGCCGTCTGGCCATAGGTCGCTGCTGCCTCGCCACTGCCGCCACCACCACCTGAGCCCTAATGGGGGAGTGAGAGGACAACGCTGGCCGGACATGGGCCTCCCTGCCGTGCCTGGCCTGCTGCTGCCACTGGTGAGAGGAGGGACAGAGGGGGAATGAGATGGTGGGTAAAGGACGCTGTGGGACTGGAGAGTGGGCCTAGCCATGGGAGGGCTGAGGCCTCTGCCGTCTCAGGCCTGCATGACCTAAGCCAGAAGTTGGCATTTTCCCATTCATTCACCCCAGAGTCAGGCGCCAGGGACAAGTTTGAGAGGCAGGGAGTAAAAGAAAGCCCCTGCCTGATGCTGAAGGAAGTTTGCTGGGCCTGGGGTGTCCAGGAATGTGGCGGCAGGTGATCGGACAGGGTGGGGTGGATTTGCTAGAGAAAGAAAAGGAGCAGGAGAAAGAAGGCTAGTCCACTCAGAGTCCAGATGATTCAGTGTCCAGATGTGCCTCTGGCCAGCTGGCTGGCTCCCGATGTGCTGGGCTGTGTGGATGTCTGGTGGACACCCTGCGATGTCTGAAGAAACCCTGCTAGAAGGCAGGGGTTGGATGTTGGTGAAGTGGGTAAACTGAGTCCTGGCAGGAGATGGGTCGGTGGACTAGGTTTGGGATACTGTGTGAGGGTATTGGGAGTGGAGTGGGAGCTTGGGTAAACGCAAGGCAACCAAGTGGACGTGTCCCTAGTGCACCCCTGCCCCCCAGGCCCATGTCTCTCACCTGTGGGCATTCTTTACCTCCTTCCTCTGGCTCAGCTTTCAGGCAGGTGACCTCTGTCGGACTGACCCTCTCTAGATGCCCCTGTGCCCCACCCCCACCCCTGACCTAAACAACAATCCCTTGTTTGCTTTTTCTTCATTTTGGGGAAGTCAGTAGAAAGTAGCTGTCGTCATTGGAAAATGTCCCTTTCTCTAACCTCAGGCACTCCAGTGTATCCTTGATCTCCCCCACATCCTGGAACTATTCCACAGACACCCTGTGCTCCTTGCTCCCACCCAGTTGGGGGTGTTCTTTTGAATCCCTGTCCTCTCACTGGCCCACCCAAAGCTTGTTCTACCTCTCCCAGTGGCTTATATCTTCTGCTTGGTGTCTGATTAATATTTTCTCTCCCAGTCATTCCTTTAGTTTTTTTCTGTCAGTCTCCCCAGAAATTTCCTCAGATTTCCCAGAATGTCCTTGTTGAAACCCTTCTTCTCTTTTCTTCCCTCTGCCTCTGCTCTGTTCCATGTTCCTAGACCTTAATTCCTCATCCCCACATGCAGGCATGCGCACACCTTCCATTGTCAACTCACTGCGCTGCTGCTGCTGTCTCCCACCTCCTGTCTCTCAGTCTTTGTCTTCTTTTCCCTTCTCTCAAGGTTGTCCTTCTCCCAGCCCCTTCCCTCACCACTGTTCAGCAACCCTGTTCTCTCTTTGGGGGGAGGAGGGGTGGCATAGCTTGCCTAGATTCAAATCCTGGCTCCCTCACATGCTAGCTGCCTGAACTTGAGCACGTTTCGTAACTTCTCCATAGATTACTTTCTTTGTCTTTAAAATGGACATAATAGTCACTACCCCTTAATGTTGTTTGGAAGATGAAATTGATATACATTAAGTATTTGATTTATTAAGTGCCAGCTCTGTGCTAGGCTGTTTTAGAGATTATTGTAGCAGTGAACAAAATCTCTGTGCTGTGGAGTTTGCATTCTAGTAGGGGAATAAGGTGCAGCAGATAGAAAGCTCTCTATAAATGTTGGCTTTTATGTTGTTGGAATTAGCAGCATTAACAGTAATTACTCAGTGACTACTTGGATTTGGAAAACAGGGTACAGGAGACTGCCTGGGGGCTGGGGCTGATCCAGTCCAGAAGGGGGTGTGACTACTAAGGGCCAGGAGCTCAGCCTATGTCTGGGTGGAGAAACAGGGGTCTGGAAGTTCTGGGTAAGGCTGTCAGGAGCTTTTCAGCTTCTCAGCATTCAAAGGGCAACACAGAGCATACTCTGTGTGTGTGTGTGTGTGTGTGTGTGTGTGTGTGTGTCTGTGTTGGGGGGATGGAGTTGAATACAGGACACCATGTGACAAAGCAAGCAGGATTTTGCTGCTCTTAAAGAGCTTACAGCTTAAAAGATATTAAAATAGATGTGGTATATATACACAATGGAATATTATTCAGCAATCAAAAAAGATAAACTCATACCATTCACAGCAATGTGGATGGAGCTAGAAGGAATTATGCTCAGTGAAATAAGCCAGAAGGAAAAAGAAAAATATCAGATGGTTTCACTTATAGCAGGAATATAGGGGAACCCAATAAGACATCAGTGTAAAAAAAAATAATTACAGCACAAAACACAACAAAGCAAAAACAGACAATTATAAATCAGAGACATCCTGCAGGGGAGGAGGAGGGAGAGGGATCAGAGGGAGGGAGGGAGGAGCACAGGGGACTGAGGTGATGGTGCAGGGGTGCCTTGGGGAAGGAAATTCTATGGGGACTCAATCTGAGGGGGTGGGGGGAAGCAAATATTGTCTAAAAAAATTTAGAAAATGGTAAATGTTAAAATAAAAAATAAATAAGTATGCGTTAAAAAAACAAAAGATCTTAAAATAAAAATGATTTCAGAACAATTTGGAGGAAAATACCCACAGAAGCATTGTGGTACCTGGAGCATGGATGGAGGCAGAGCCAGGGAAGGGTGTAAGCACTTGCAGTTGCCTTTTCTTGCCTAGCAGCTCTCTGCTCTAGATGATTCAGGTCATGCGCCCCCCCTCCCCCCAGTTCCTGTTCTCCGCCCAGGTCACTGAGTCTATCACTGACGGTCTCTGACCCAACTGACAGCTCTTGGAGCATGAGCTGTACGTTCATCTCTGCATCCTGGCATCCATGGGAGACCTGGCACATAGACTGTTTCTTAACTATCAAAAAAATAAAGGAACAGGGATTGGTTGGATGAGACTAGGGAGGAAAGACACCACAGGAAAGTGGATTTAGCGCTGAGATGTGAAGTCAGTTACCCCAGAAAGGGTGGCTAGATAGAAGGGAGGCAGGAGAGTCAGGAGACTGTTTTGAGGGAGACTAGAGCAATGGTGAAATGGGATTTTCAGTGGAGGTGGTGACAACAGGAAGACAAAGGCTTTAGAGTGGAAAGACCACTTCGAGGAGTTATGAGAAAGAGAAAACTGGAGGGAATGGGACAGTGGGAAAGGAAGGAAGGAAGAATCATGACTGTGATCCCAGATGGAGCAATGAATGCATTCATTCATTCAGAAACAGTTCCCTGAGGCCCACTGTGCCCAGTGGTATGTTGAGAACAGCAGTGAGGTACCTGTGCAAGAACTCATTCAGGGAAGCAACGAGGGAATGGAATTGATGTTCGAGGTCAGGCCCTGGAGAGGAAGGTTCCCACACATGAGGGTGCAAGTTGAAGCCTGAATGCAGATAAGAAAGTGTGTAGGATGCACTGGAGCAGGAAAGAGGCTGGTGGCTGGGCAATCCTTTGGGAGACTGTTACAGTAATGCATGTGTGAGGCAACCCAGGGACACGAAGAGGGCTGAGAGGTGACAGGAAGGCGTGGCCAAATGGATTGACAGATGGGATGGCAGCAGGCTTAGGGATGGGACAGGAGGAGAGAAAGGTTTGGGTATCGGTGCTGATATGTTGGTGTGACATTTGTCTAGACAGGGGATGGATGAGTTTAGTTTGGGGCACATTCAAGTTCCAGGAAACAGCAACTAACAGGCCGGAGAGAGTTTCTTAAACTCTTAACTGCCTCCAGAAGGCTTGCTTTGACACAATAGGAATCTCAAATGGAGACATTCCCCAGGAAGTGTGTGTGGGCGTGCATGTGCACATGGATGGGGAGAGGGAGGGACTGAGAAGAGTTTGAGAACTCTTCCTTTGAGATAAATATGATCCTACAGGGGGGAGGGGGCACCGACTCCCTCCTCTGTCTTTGGGAATCACTGGCTTCAACTGGAGTGGAAGACAGATTAGTCACTACACCAACCCATAAATCCATGTTTAATTTGCTCCTCCAGTTCTAGGTGCTGAGAGTTTACCCGGGAGGGTAAGACACTATCTCTGACCAAGATACTCTCTCTGATCTCTCACCTTCTAGAGTTTATGGTCTATTTGGGGAGATCGTATCTGCTTACCCCAGATAATTATGTTATGATAGGAACCCAAGGTAGATATAGTTAATTCATGTTATTAAAGTTCACAGGGGCCTGAGCCCCTAATGAGCTTGGGTGGGGGAAGCTACATTAGTAGAGGGCTGCAGGGGAGGGTGGTGGGGCCCTTCGAGGAGATGCTGACGTGGGCTCACCAAAGCTCTTGCCGTTCAGTGAACAGACACATCTTAGTTTAATGAACACGTTCTGTGGGGGAAAGGAACTGCTAAGTGGTCCCGTGAGGTCATTGGGTCAGAGTCAGACCGCAGGGGCTATCTTAGCTCCTGCTCCACTCCGCGCCCCAGCACAGGAAGTCACACTTTAAAGCCTCCCCAGGCGGAAGTTGTGGGGGAGTTGGAGGGATGCTGGGCCACCCCCTCAACTGTTTCTCTACTGCACCCCCTCCCTTCCTGCCCTTCCCTGCTTGCAGGCACTCATGCTGGGGCTTAGGTGCTTTGAGCTCACCCCCAATTCTGCTGCTAAGGACCCTGCTCACCAGGGCTCACTGGTGCCAACAAATGGTGCCCACTGATGAGAAGCTTGAGGCCTCTGGTTCTTAGGGGTCAGATGGGGCTGTCCTGGGGCACTGCTGGGGCCTAGAGCGGGGAAATAGTGCTGGCTGCATCACCTACCTTCTCACTTCCCCCCTCTGTCCTGGAAGTGGGTTTTCAGGGTTCTGAAGTTTTTCCTGTGCTGCCATTGGGCTTGAAGGAGGGGCTCTGGACACTCAGAACTGGCCTTATTTTCTCATGACTATGTGGGGACCCCAGGGAGGTCCCAAAACTGAACCCAGCTGGCCAGAACTGGCCAGGCTGTGGGAAAGCAGTGAATCCCGGGTGGGAAGGCAGCCTTGGTTTGTTTCCTTCTGGAACTGGGGAGTGTCACGGGGCCAGAGGGAGAACCTAGGGAACAGGGTTTATCTGCTGGCAACTGGTTGAACCTGGAGGAGGCGCCTGGAAGGGGCCTGGGCTGAAGGAAGGATGCTGAGGGCTGGGAAGGAGCTGAATGGCCCTCAGGGAGGGATGGGTAGTGATTTGATGGGAGGAAGCCAGGGGTCGACAGAGACTTCCTTTTGGGATTGAATGGATGAGGGAGCCATTTCCTGAAACATGTGGGCCAAATGGGACAGGGGTCCATTGCCTGGCTCTTTTGAGGAGGAGGGGGAGAAAAGGGGGGCTCTGAGTGGAGACCGAGAGAGACCAGCCCACAGGAGGAAGGGATAGATTGGGGTCTCAATCCCTGGCTGCTCCCTTCAGAATTTCTGCTGATTCATGACCCTTGAGGAGCTGGGGAAGCTGTTGGTTCCTTCTCCCCTCCCTACCTCTGGCCTGAGTCACTGGGCGGAGCTGCTGGGAAAAGATTTGCTTTTCCCGGATCTGACTTAACCCTCAATGTGCTGGAGGTAGGGACATGTGGCTGAAGAAAGCCTCTCTCCCACCCTCCTGGGAAGCTCAGCCCTCACAGGCCAGAGGTCTAGAAAAGCTCCTCTTCCCCCAGGCTGTCCCGGGACTGAAGCCCCCCAGTTCTTCCTATCTCTGTCTCTGCTGATTGGCTTTGCTCCCAAACCCGCTGGCTGGAATTCCAGTGCCAGTGACCTTACGTGCTAGGGGCTCTTCGGGGAAAGGAACCACATTTTCAGGATTGGGAAGTTGTTCTCATAACCACCCCAAACACTTGCTGTTGTCCTGAATGTCCTAGTCCATTCTCAGGGGAGATGGACTGTGCTGGAGAGGGTCAGAGAAGGAGGCTGCTTTCTGGGCTGGGGAGTGCCTCCCTGCGGGAGAGGGGCTGCTGCTGTGTTTCTGAGTGTGGCTCCTCCTGTTGTAGTTGGGGGCTGGCTGCTTCAGGGTCTCCCAGCCCTTGACCCAGGGTAGACCCGCCTACCTGCCTGTGTGGTCCAAAATGGAGAGCTGTTGAGGCAGAAGGGCTGTCCTTGGTCAGGGGTTTTTGTTATTCCACAAAGCATGTTTAACATGCTTTGAGAACATCCTCTTGTCTTTACAAAAAACGGCTCTTATAACAGCAAAAATTATCATGGCCCAGGAAAAGCCAGCAAGAAGCTGGAAGATCGAAGAGCAAAGTCTAGGGGGCCTCCCTGGTGGCCTAGGGGTTAAATCTCAGTCCTATCACCGCTGTGAGCTGTGGCCTGAGTTCAATCTTATCCAGGAGGTGACCCACAAATGGCTCAGCAGACCTCTCCTGTCTCACCTGCTGCTCCCCTTAGCAGTGTATTTCAATAAAATCTGCCTGTTCTCTTCCCCACTCTGTCTCTGGTGAATCCTCTTACACCCACCCTGCTCCTCTGGCCTACACCCAGTTCTTCCATGCAAAAAAAAAAAAAAAAAAAAAAAAAGGAAAAAAAGCAAAGTCTGGGCCCGAGCTCCACAAAGAGCTGGGCTTGCAAATCAGCTGCCATGGACTCGACCTGAGGCTGAATGACCAGACTGCCCAATGGGTAAAGGGCTGTAGGACTTTCTGACACACCTGATGGTCATTTGAGTCAGCCTCTCATTAGCTCTAGTTGCATGCAACTTACATTACAGGCCTCTGTCCACTCCTGGACCCCACTCCTCACATTCCATCCCTGACCCTGAAATTTCCCTTTTACTCTTCTCACATTTGCCCCCACCAAGCTGGGGTCTGTATGTGGATTTAGTGACGGGAAGAGATGCAACATGGAGTCCAGAGGTACACCCCAAGTGAGGTTTTGATACAATTGATGCAATTTATAAAGAAATTTTTTTCTTGCTTTTGCCTGCTGCTGAGAAATGGGCCCACAAAAACATCACTCCTCTCCACCCCAATTTGGTTGTTTCCAAAACCTTTTTATTGGTATCACACCATATAAGAAAGTGCATAGGTCTGAAAGCAGCACCCACATGCAGAAACACCACCCCAAGCTTTAGAGCTGCTTGTGGGAAGGAAGGAGGGCCATGATTGAGGTCACTGGCCAGTACCCGTCATCCAAAAACATTCCTTGGAAATCTGTCCTGCATCCAGTACTATTAGCTGTTGTGGGGATAAAAGGATAACATATAATCCGGGCCTGGGATCTACTAGCCTTGGGTTGGAAAGACAAAAATGGGCACATAGGACAATTGAGTCAATCAGAACAAACAATTAAGTTTAGAGAACATAGAGTGGGCGTGGCCTGGGAGAATGTTCCACCCAGGAAGGACTTGAGCTGGGGAGGTGAGACTTGCTTTCCTTTGCCTGTTTACCCTTCCTGATGGGTCTCCTCTGCCGATTCCTCCCCAGGTGCTCCTGGCTGTGTTGGAGGTCGTGTACCCCTCTGGTGTTACTGGACTGGTCACTCACCTCAGGGACCTGGAGAAGAGAGACAGCCTGTGTCCCCAGGGAAAATATGTCCACCCTGAGAACAATTCCATTTGCTGTACCTTTTGCCACAAAGGTGGGAGAAAGTAGTGGCAGTGAATCCCCTTGCTGTGGGGCCCTATTTTTTCCTTTGCTCTTTCAGAAATTCTAGAACCTGGGGCCCTTGGCCCCAGGGCTGCTAACGTTGTTTCCCCTCCTGGGCTTTTCTCTCTCCTTTAACCTCTTGGAGACTTCAGGGAGGTGGGGCTGCTCTGCCTGGCCTGGGGCTCTTTTCCTGAGCTCTGGGCTACAGCTTAACCCTGACACCCCAATCACAGGGACCTACCTGCGCAACCACTGTCGAGGCCCGGGGCTAGACACGGACTGTAAAGAGTGTGAAAAGGGCACCTATAGTGCTACAAAAAACTACCACCGATATTGCCACGGCTGCTCCAAGTGCCGGGAAGGTGAGTCTCAGCAGAGGGGAGGGCTTGAAACAGAATGTTCACGGTCTGGGGACATAGGTGGGTTGTTGGGAGGGGTGTGTGTGCCTGTCTCTGTGCAAGTGGAGCTTGTCAGCAGGTGCGTGAGTGAGTATGCATGGGGGTGAGCACGTGTTATAGAGGCACACACATACCATGGTTGGGGTGTCCACAAGGGAATGCAGGGGAAGAATAGAAGGGTGAATATGGAACTCCGGGGGGCAGTCAGCCTCACGCCTCATGTCCTCCCCTCACCAGAATTGCTCCAGGTGGAGATTTCCCCTTGCATGTTGGACCGGGACACTGTGTGTGGCTGCAGGAAGAACCAGTACCGGAAAAATTTGGGTGGCTCTCTTTTCCAGTGCGTGAACTGTAACCCCTGCCTCAATGGCACAGTGCATCGTCCCTGTAAGCATGGATCCTGTCCCCCTGCCCTGCCCCCTCCTTCCTTCCCAAGAAGGCCTGGTGCTTATCTCTGCCTTTCTGCCCCCAAAGACAGTTCTTCTTTAGCTTCCCACTCCCGAGGTCTGTGCGCCCCCTCGAACTCCCAAGGTCTATGGACCACCTCCACCTGCCCCTCTTCCTTGTGCTTTGCAGTCCTGGGGGTGCAGGATGGATTCTTGAGCTGTGCTGCATCTCTTCCCACAGGCCAGGAGCAAGAGGATACGTATTGCCACTGCCATGCTGGGTTCTTTTCAAGAGAGAATAAATGTGTCTCCTGTGTTCAGTGAGTATCTGTTAGCTCCTGGGCACTGGGTGGGGAGTGGCTGTGGGTAAGAGACACTAGCAGGGCAAGGGAGACACCCCAGGGTGCTCCGATTGATTGTTTGAAGGGGAGACACCTAGGTGAAGACACTAGACAGTCCCATCTCTCCCTCCTGGCTTGTTCCTAATATTTTTTCCTGTTTTTTTGAAAAGCATTTGTAGCTTTTAAATATGAACCTCTAGGCTTTAAGCTACCAGGACACACAGGACACAGTCCCTGTCCCTCTCTGCTCTCCCCCAGTCTTCTCAGCTCTTCCTTGAAGAATTTGGCCTTTACCAGCACAGACTGCTTTGTGAACTTTCTCTTCCCCAGGACTTTGGAGTAGCCTGATCGCACCATGTTAGTGATAGAAGCAGCTCTAGTCCTGTTTTTTGCAGCATTTATCAGAGTTTTCTCACTGATCAAGGTCCACAGTTTATCAAGTTGGGCAGATGCTCTGAATCCTCTTTAAGGGTGATGCTTCACCCTAACTTTCCCAGACTGACCCAGGTGACATCTGTCAAAGCTGATCCCGTGGTGACCAGGGCCTCCTGAGTGCTTATGATGCTGGCTGCTGTGGCTGTGGCTCACATGGGCCCAAAGTTTCTGGATGGCATAAAAGAGTTTGTTCCCAAATCTTAAGAAATCTTTGGGGATCTAACCCTAGGACTTGCAATTCTTTTTAGGCATTCAGGTTCATGGATCCCGGGGCATGCATTTTTACATCTGAAATAAGATAGCATCTTATAACAACTGATGCTGTGTCCTGGTTGAGCGGCAGCTTGGGGTGTGCGTAGCATAAAAACAATGTGCTTGATGGCATCTTGGGTTTGATACAATCTGGCATTTCCTCCCCAATTCCTTTGACCAGGCTCCTCACTCTTGGTTTCTTGCTTGCCAAGGAGAAACTCTGAGCCTTCTAAAGTTGAACTGACCTGGGTGTCCACCTCAGCCTTGCCAGGTACTGGCTGTGTGACCTCGGACAAAGTCTTCATTTCCTTACCTTTATAGTAAGGATAATGACACCCACTTGGCGAAGTTGTAAAAGCCACGAAAATTAACTACCAAGCATCTGGCGCAAAACTACTTTTTCCACTAAGTTTTATCTTTTCTCCCTGAAAGAACTTTCCCACCCATTCCATGTGATTCTCACCGTGAGCTCATGAGGTGGACAGAAGTGCTGCTTCTGCTTTCAGATTCCTGCTGAGAACTCACCTTGTCAAGTTCCGTTTAGGCTGTTCCCCCACCCCGTCCCCTTCCCCACCACTCATCACTCCCACTCTAGTGACAGATCCCAACATGGGAAGATTTTCTTGGGCTGCCCCTAGTCATGTGTATATCTAAGTTTTTCATGGGCATGTTTGACCACTTTTCAAGGTCACGTACTGTCACTAGCAGGGGTATCTCCAGAAAAAGCTATTGAGCCTTGGGCCTCCCCGGTGGCACAGCGGTTGAGCTCTGGGTTGCGAAGCTGCCCGCAGCCCCTGCAGAGCCGGTTCGATCCCCGGCTGCTCCCCGGCCACCGGAGGAGGGTCCCACATGGCGCGCAGACCTCCCCTGCCACCCGCTGCTCCCCTCAGCAGTGTCTTCGGTCCTTCTGCCTGCTCTGCTCCCCGCTCTGGCTCTGGTGAATTCTCTTACCCTCCCGCGCTTCTGACTGTACCCAGTGCTTGTATGTATGTATGTATAAATCAATCAATCAATCAATCACTAAATCGTAAAAAAAAAAAAACTTAAAAAAAATTTAAAAAAAAAGCTATTGAGCCTCTCCTTGCCACAGCGTTCTTTTTTTTTTTTTAAGATTTATTTATTTATGCATATAAGAACTGGGGTAGAGGTGTGAGAGGATTCACCAGAGACAGAGTGGGGAACAGAACAGGCAGATTGACTGAAATACACTGCTGAGGGGAGCAGCGGGAGAGTCAGGAGAGGTCTGCTGCGCCATGTGGGTTGCTCCCTGGCTGGTGAGGGATAGAACTTGTGCTGTAGAGGCTGCGGACAGCTTCATAGGTTGCATCTTAATCCCTTGCGCCACCAGGGAGGCCCCCATCGACAGGATTCTTAACAGTAAAACAATGGGGCCTCCCTGGTGGCGCAAGGGGTTAAGACGCAACCTATGAAGCTATTCGCAGCCACTGCAGCACGAGTTCGATCCCTCACCAGCCAGGGAGCTACCCACATGGCGCAGCAGACTTCTGACTCACCTGCTGCTCCCCTCAGCAGTGTATTTCAGTCATTTTGCCTGTTCTGTACTCCACTCTGTCCCTGTTGAATCCTCTCACACCTCTACCCCAGTTCTTGTATGCATAAATAAATCTTAAAAAAACAAGTAAACAGTGATTTAAAAAAACAAACAATTCAGGGGCCTCCGTGGTGACCTAAGGGTTAAGTCTCAGCACTATAACTGCTATGGCCTGAATTCGATCCCTGGCCAGGGAGCTAACACACATATCATGTAGCAGACTTCTCCTGTCTTCCCACTGTTCCCCTCAGCATTGTATTTCAGTAAATCTGCCTGTTTTGCTCCCTACTCTGTCTCTGCTGAATCCTCTCACCCTCTGCACTATGGCTTTCACCCCAGTTTTCTACACAAAAATAAATATTAAAAAAAGAAAAAAAGTATGCCTTAAAAAATATTCAATGGCTGCTACAATAGGAGCCCCGTTTTATTACTGGGGAGAATGGAAGCCTAAGGGTTAAATAAATGAGTTGCTTAGAGTTGCACTGTAACCAGTGAATGGACTAGAATTTACACCTTGACCCTGAGTGCTTTTAATGTTTAATACACAGTCTCTTCAAGATCAATTTCAGTTCTAACATTAAATATTTCTGTGATTAACTTGTGTTTCATCCCTTGGCATCAGTTCCTAATAATGGGTTTAATTTCCATTCTGTCAAGAGATAGCTAAAATATTTGTAAAGCAAAGAATTTCCAACAACCTGGGTCTTGTCTTCTTTTTCCTTGTTCCTTCTTTTTCACCCAGTGCTATCTCTTTTTTTTTTTAGCTGTAAGAATGCAGACTGTGAGAAGTCGTGTAAGCCCTTCTCAACAGAACCATCTCAGCACCCTAATGACCCAGGTGAGAAATAACCAGGTGCCCACACTCACCTGCCCTCCTAAACCTTGACCCTCAGCCCATTTTGCTACCCACCCCTCCTGTCTCCTGCTGCCCCTTCCTCTGACCACAATCTGCTTTGTCCTCCAGGCACTGCGGTACTGTTGCCCATGGTGATCTTTCTGGGCGTTTGCCTTTTGTCCCTCCTCTTTGTTGGCATAGGATGCCGCTACCAACGGTGGAAACCCAAGCTCTACTCCATTGGTGAGTGGGGCCTTTGCCAGGGAAGGGTGCTGGTGGGGGTATGGGAGGTTGAGTGGGTAAGATGGACAAGTGTGGAGAGAACCAAGGGGTGCCCCCTTAGCTTGCTGCCAAGCACTCTGTTGGCAGGAGTGGCCATGGTGACAGGTGGTACTGCACGGGTGGTTCTCTAGTCCCTGGGGAGATGTGGGCCCTGAAGCTTGTCACCGCAAGTCCCATCTGACAGCCCTAGTATGAGCCCAGGCGTAAGAGGGGAAGTGAGCTTATGACTCTTTGTTTCTTTTTTCTCAGTTTGTGGGAAATCGACACTTGTAAAAGAGGTAAGAGGAAAGTAGGCACCTACCCTCAATCTTCCCGGCCTTTCTATTATAATTCTGTAATTCCCAATTCATCTGGGATCACCCTTTTGCCCTGGGGTTCCCCTAATTCCCTCTAGCTCCAACTCCCATGTAGAATAACAAGGACTGGGCTGTTGGGCCTCCCCTGGTGGCGCAGGCAGTTGAGCACAGCGCTGTGAAGCTGTCCGCGCTCTCTGCAGCGCTGGTTCGATCCCGGCCAGCCGGCAGGGGTCCCACATGCTTCAGCAGACCTCTCCTGTTGCGTACCCGCTGCTCCCCTCAGCAGTGTATTTCGTCAGTCTGCCTGTTCTGTTCCCTGCTCTGTCTCTGGTGAATTCTCTCACCCACCTGCGCATCTGGCCTGTACCCGGGTTCCTGTATAAATAAATAAATAAACAAACAAACAAATAAATAAATCTTAAAAAAAAAAAAAAGGACTGGGCTGTTTTCTCCCTCCTGCATTCATGCTATGCCTCCTCTCTTGCAGGGCGAGCCTGAGGCCCTGGCCCCGGCGCCAGGCTTCATTTCCACCCCGGGCTTCAGTCCCATCCCCACCTTCAACCCCAGCCCCATCTTCAGCCCTGGCGACTGGCCCAACTTCAGGACTGGACCACCCCATACGGAGATGGCCCCACCCCACCTAGGGGCAGCCCCCTTTCCTCTCTCACCTGCAGTCCCTACCCTCAGCCACAACCCTGCTCCTCTTCCGAAGGGGATGGACAGTGTCCACCCGCAGCGCCCAGACGGTGAGTTTCTCCCAGGGGATGGGGATGGAGGGCGGGTGGGCCGGGATCCCCGAGGGCCCCTGTGCGGGGTAGCAGAGCCGGGCAGGGATCTCCAGGCTCACTGCCCGCTGCGCTGCTGCCCAGATCCGGCGACCCTGTATGCGGTGGTGGACGGCGTGCCCCCGTCGCGCTGGAGGGAGTTCGTGCGGCGGCTGGGGCTGAGCGAGCACGAGATCGAGCGGCTGGAGATGCAGAACGGGCGCTGCCTGCGCGAGGCGCAGTACAGCATGCTGGAGGCCTGGCGCCGGCGCACGCCCCGCCGCGAGGCCACGCTGGACCTGCTGGGCAGCGTGCTCCGCGACATGGACCTGCTAGGCTGCCTGGAGGACATTGAGGAGGCCCTGCGGGGCTCCGCCTTCCCGTCCACCAAGTCCTGCCTTCCCCGGTGAGGCCGCGCCTCGCCCCCTCCTGGGCGGAGCCTGCTCCCAGGACACTTGCTTTCTGCCTTGGGGCACCCTGGAAGGACCTGCAAGGTGCACTCTGGACCCCCTTTTTTGTGGAGAGGAAGGGTCTTGGAGGGGCATGCACCAGCTCGCAGCCACTTGGTACTACTCCCTCAGTGTACATAGCTTTTCAACTGCCTGAGCGCTGCTGGGGGGGGGGGTCACTGTGTGTGTGTGTGTGTGTGTGTGTGTGTGTGTGTGTGTGTGTGTGAGAGAGAGAGAGAGAGAGAGAGAGAGAGAGAGAGAGAGAGAGAGAGAGGAGGGAGAGGGAGAGAGAGGGGAGATGTACCCTTGAGCTCCCGAGAGACGCTGAATGTGCCAGGAGCCCAAGTGGGGTGCACGAGGGACTTCATGCCTCATTGCCCATATGGGCTTTGGAGAGCGCAGCCAGGCTGCTTAGGGGCCCTCTAAGCCTTTTTCACAGTACTCAAGCAATGTTTGTATCAGTTATATTACACTAATAGAAACTTGGCATGCCTTCGCCCCTGCGGGGACAAGCACAGCATCAGCTGACTTGTGGGGGGCAGGGGCAGGGGCAGAACAGCAGGGTGTCCAGCTGGGGTTGTGGACTTTTGTAAATACACTAAAACTCTGGATATTAAAGCTCTGCCTCTGGAGGGAGTGGCTTTTTGAGTGCTGGGTGTGGGGTCTGGGACCGAGAGTGAGCCCCTGAGAGATGGGGTGGGGCCAGATACACCCCCACCATGACGCCAGCTGACAGGAATAGCCTGTGCCTCGTGACAGCCCAGCCCCCGTGCTCCTCACACCATCTAGCACCGACCAAGCCGTCATTTCTATGCACAACTTTATGGGGGTGTCTGTTGTGTGGACGGCACATAAATGTACAGCTCTTGATCCCCTAAATCCTTGAGCAAGAAGCATGGGGGGCCTGGACCAGGCATCTTCGTGGGGAGTGTGGTCCTTGAGGTAGAGTCCAGGGGTGGGGGGGTGACCAGCACTCTCGGGGAGGAGTTTCTAATGCTCGACGTCCTTAGTGTTCCTCACGCCTCCCTGAAAATGAAGGAAGTTGGAGTTAGGTAAAGTCAGGGCGCTAAGGGCCCTTCCCCGCCGTCTGTGCCCTCCCCAAATTCTGGTGCCCCCTCCCCCCACGCGCTGGCCTTCCCGTCAGCACTCACGATGTGGTTAGGGTGCTGTCCAGCTGTATGACATGGTTCCCCCGCATCCTGAGCAGCTGGGCCTGGGTCAGCTTCTGAGGCTTGCAGTCCCTGGGCTCCGGGATGCCCTCGATCCTTTGGCAGGCCAGATCCTCCCGGATCTCTCGGAGCCTGTCCTCTCTGAGCCTGTCCTCGGCCCGAAGGTGGTGGAAGAAGAAGGACGGCTCTTCTTCCTCATCCCCTGACGACTCCCGGGGGCTTTCCCCAGCAGAGTCAGTGTGGGCTGGGGAGAGGGGGACCTGCCCCCGAAGTCGGGCCCTGTGCAAGCTTTCCACCACCACATTCTCGCCCCCCAGAGTTCTCTCTTCTTCCCCAGACCAGGCGGCGGGGGGGCCCCTGGGAAGAGTGCCGCCTTGTCGGATTCCTTCCTCTGGCAGTTCTGGGGCACTTCGTCGTTGGAGGGCTTGGGGGTCAGGAGGCTGGGGGCGCAAAGAAACATCTCGGAGGTCCAGGGTGGAACGGATGAGGCGAGGGTCCCGCCGAAGGGCTCGAGGGCGTGCACGGCTCAGGGGGGAGCGGAACCCCCTGGAGGAGTTTGAGACCAGCGTGCCGTAGCCGGAGTCTGAGGTATCCTCCTGGCCTGAGGGAGCCTCTTCCTCTGTGTCTTCCGTCACCACAAGTCGGGGGTTGACGGCGGAGAACTCAGAAGTCCTACAGGGAAGGATGGATGGGCAGTCAGAAGCTGAGGGGCAGTTAAAGTCCAGTTAAAGTCCAGGAAGTTTTCTGCCATCACACCACCGAGATGTGGCCCTTCCTCCAAACCGACTTCTCTGACACCGTTACTCTGCACTGGCTGTTTTTCTCAACTTGCTGACTGGGCTGGGAGCTCCCTGAGCGGCCTCGAAGGCATTTTAGCCAAGAACTGGGTCTAGGACCTGTATCAAGAATTTCCTGTGTGCTTCTAGGTCCCTGAGGTTCTCCCTCAGGGATGGATTCTCTTTTTCCTCCTCAAGCAGGCTGCGGAACATCTTGTTATTCTGCTCGGTCACTCACTTTTTTGGAGATCTGGACTAGCCAGGTCCTTGCAGCTTCCACACCCTACAAATCCAGTCTGTCCTTCACTCCCCATTCCTGGCGGGAAAGCCTGTTCCTCTCAGGGAGCTCATGCCCCTCATGACTGTTTGCTTTCCCTGTGCCAACCCTAGGCTGGCTCTCCTCAGGCTGTCCATGAAGCCTTTCCAAAGGCTGGTACCAACCTGCTCTTTGATCTGGGCTCCTCAATTCCCTCCTCTCCCTAAAGCTGCAAGGCTATTGTGCACCCTTGTGGGTTCCCCTTTTCTCCCTCCCTGCCTGGGTTGCCCCCACTTCATTTTGGGTGATCTCAGGATCTATGGGTCTTACCTCTCCTCCGTGCTGCTCTGAGAGCTCTCCAGGGAGACTGTGGAGGGTGTGGAGGGCCTGGTGCCTGGGGACTCTTGCTTCTGGTCCCGGTAGAGGGCCAGGAGATCCCTCCTCTGTTGGGTGTACTCTTCTATCTTTAGCTTTTGCAGGGTGCTCTGGGGTGGGGATATTGTCGTTAGAGCTCTCATTTATTGAGCACTTGCTGTATGCCAAACAACTCGGCAAGTGTTTTATGTGCATTATCTTGTTTAATCTCCACCACAACAGATATCAGGCAGCTATAATTTTTGACTCCTATTTTACTACTGAGAAATGGAAACTCTGAGGTTAAGTAACAGTCAAGATCATGCAATAAGAAAGTCGATGGAGCCAGGGTTTGAACTCTACAGCTGGTTCTGGATGTAGGTGGCAGGAACAGAAGGCCCATTTTCCTACCTCTACTGTTCTTCCCGCTTCTCCTTTTCTCTTGGCTGGCAAGCCCTCTATCCGGCCTTTCTCCTCCTTCAGGAAGCCCTCCATGAATGATGATGGTGATGGTATAAATGCTCTGAATGGTGCTGGGCCCTCAAATTACTCTTTCTTACCACCAAGGTAAACAGGGACAGGCTCTGTCCTGGACTTTGGACTCTGCTGTCCCTCAGGGAGGAAAGCAAGACCATTCCAAGGGGAATGGAGAGAGGACACATTACATTTTCAGTCTTTTCTTCCTCAACATTTTCATATAGGTACCATCAGAATAAAGTAATCACAATGAGAAGTACAAGGCACTTCCACATGAACACCATCATTTGAACCACACCATCACCCTGCAGGGTGGAAAGCAGGGATATTGGCCCATTTACAGATGAGAAAACAAACAGAGATGAAGGGACTTGCTTAAGGTTGCATAGGCAGTGAGGCATACTGGGACTGGGCCTTTTTCTTTGAGTCCTACTTCTGCAACTGCATTGTTTTCAAGGGCAGCCTGAAAGGTAAATCATTATTAAATGTCAATGTTTATTTGGGGGAGGAGCAAGTGGGGGAGGTAGCAGAGCCCAAGGTGTGATTGGAGGAGGAAGCTTGGCCAATGGGGAGGTAGTGCTGGCTGCTGTGGGCAGGCCTAGTATCAGGACTCACTGGTATGGCTATATCATTGTCAAAATGTTGGAGAACTTCCAAGCTGGTAGCAAAGGACTGCTATCTGAACTTTCCACCCCTCCCACCTTCCCCCCAAGATCCAGAAACTAGAGGGATAACGTCTCACACAGCAGGGGACCTCTAGGAGCAAATGCTCCACTCTGTCCATGCCCTTGCCATACTGGTTGTTAGAGATTCTGAATTTTTCCCTAGATTTAGGTACATGAACCAACAACTCTTGGACACCTGGACCTTTCCAGAGTGTCTCCAGAATAAGAGACACATCAGAGAAATGGATGAACAGGGAGAGGAAAATGATATCAGGTGTATGTTTCCAGCTTTCCTTTTCCTGGTCCTAGCCACTCAGTCTCCTGAGACAAAGCAGTGCAAGGATTCTTAGCTATCTTAAAAGACTTGGTCTGTTGGCAGAGCAAGGGATGACGGTGCCTGGGGGGCAGGGAACAAGCACACCAGGGTCAACCCTATAGTCTCCTCCCCTACCCCCAGACCTCAGGTGCCATCTGGCTGGAGTATGGGGCAGAAGGGCTGAGGTTGTCTATTTCTCCTGCTGGAAGCTGTGCGCTTTGGCCCCACGTGACTCAGTGCAAATTTGTTTGGAATGTCCAGGCCAGATTTGGTGTGTGGAGTTAAAGAACTGAAGGAAGAGGGCGGTTCCCAATATCTGAACCGCCACTAAACTTGCCCTTGGCAAGAAGCAGGGAAGTTGGGGTTAAATCAATACTGTGGGATAGAGCTATAAGTATCCCCAGCCACCCAAAGCCTCTCTAGCAGTCCTGGGAGGGCTTTCTCAGTTTGGGTAAGAAGAGAGACATGTGGCAGCGTGGGAAAGGAAGAGGAAATTGGTGTCTGTGCCGGAAGGTGACCCTGTCACAAAGCCTGGAAGAGGGATCCCCCCACCCCCGCACAATTCTTCTTCCCTTCTTCCGGTGCCCAGCTGGAGAATGAGAGCCCTGATAGGAAAGACCTCCTCTCCCTGCTGCCTTGCCAGTGTCCTCCCAGGGTCCCCCAACAAGGACTGGCACCCATCTCTTGAAGGTGCCCATAGACTAGTCAGCTTTGGCCCTGCCCAGGCAACACCACTACCCCTTTGTCTTAATGATGACAATAACAAGCATTTCTGGAGTGCCAACTAAATGCTACGCTTCCTGCCAAGCAGCTTTCAAACACAATCCCCCACCACCACCACCCCCAAGTCCTGCAGTGTGCTTCCACAATCAGTGCAAGTCCCTGCACCTGGACCAGCTTACAGAGGAGCAGCAACAGGTGACGAGCAAGAGCTGGGCTCACACAGCCGCCCTCCTTCATTCTTTGGCCTTCCTCTTTGACAGCTCTTTCTGTTCCCATCACTAGTTCCTTCCCTCTTCCAGCCCCTAAATATGGGTATTTTGCAAGTTCAGTCTCTTCTCCTTGGAAAGGCACATTTTCTCTAAATGCTTAATCTGCCACAGCCAGATCCACGAGGAATAAATCTCCATCTACGTTTCCGTAAGGAGCATAAACAGTCTGTCCTCTTGCTCGGAGGCTGCTCTACTGCCCTCTTCTGTTTACAAACGAAAGACGTGGACCGCAGCACCCCGAACAATCTGATAGGAGACAATGGCAGGAAAAACTAACTTCCAAGGTCCGGGGCTCTTTGTTCTGCTGAGCGAGGCCGAGAACTCTGTGTACTGGAGTCAGAAGCTACCTCCTCTCCTCTATTAGTCAAAAATGAAACTGCTGGGAGGGAGTTGCTTTTGCAATAATCACATCCCAGCAATTTGAAGGGGTTCCCTGAGGATTAAGGGCACAAGGTGAGGGCCGGGGCCTGGGAACCGAAAGAAGAGAAAGTTGTGATGCTTAGGGGTGGTTTAAAAAAAAAAAGGAGGTTGCCATCTAGTAAGGGTCCCCCTACCTGTGGTCCTGGGGAACCCTGAGGCTTGTTTCTGGTTCAGTTCTCTGCTTCCCTCAGACCCAGCCTTCAGCGAGACTTGATGAAGCGCTGAGACTAACCGCATCCCCCCTTGTGGACACTGGGCTGGGACTGGGGGCGAGGGTGGTGTAGAGTGAAGACCCCTGCCACCCACAAACAGGGGCCTAAAAGGGCAAATGGGGGACCACACTCACCACAAAAACCACCTTTACCCTGTCCCTACCTCTGGCTTCCTGGGCTTGTCACCATCTTGTTTAAGTGTAAGGAAGTGGGCCAGCGGACACAGAGCTTAGGTTCCATCTTTCATTCTTTCTTTCTTTCTTTTTTTTTTTAAGATTTATTTACTGGTGCATTCAAGAGCTGGGGTGTAGGCCAGAGGTGTGGGAGGATTCACCAGAGGTGTGAGAAGATTCACCAGAGACAGAGTGGGGAGCAGAACAGGCAGACTGACTGAAATACACTGCTGAGGGGAGCAGCGGGTGAGACAGGAGAGGTCTGCTGCGCCATGTGGGTCCTGGGAGCCCAGTTCCTTGGCTGGGGATTGAACTTGTGCTGAGACTTAACCCTGTGCACCACCAGGGAGGTCCTTTCATCCCTATTTCTCACCCAAACTCTGGGACTGTGTCCCAACCCCCCTAAGATATCTCCACTTGGCTATCTCCCACTAGCTCCATTTCAAAGTGCTTCTGTTTAAAACTAGATATTACTGCCCTCCCCCATCCCTCCCCAGGAAGGCACAACTAAACAAACAGGTTTCCCTTTTCTAAGGATTCCACTCCTGCCAGGGAGACCACTAGCCAAGCAGTCTTTCCAGTGGGAACCTTGGTGGCAAATCCTCCTTTGTCCTGGTGAATTGCGCTGCTGAGCATTTCCAGAGCAGGCACCATGCCACCTGCTCAATCTCAATGCCTTCTTTGAATCTTCCCTAGAGGCAGGGGCTGTTATCATTTATATCTATTTCAGGTAAAGCAAGAAGAGCTCACATAATTCACCCCAATCACACAGCTTGTAAAAGTAAGATTGGTGTCAGAAACTAGATTTTCATGCATTCCTCAAGGCATATCCAGCCTTTCTTTAGCTTCTTTCTTCCTCTCCTGCCCTTGCTTTTTGCAGTGTGTCCCTAAGGCCATGGCAGTAAATGTCAGTGTTACACACCTAAACTACTACATTAAATCTCCTCTACCAGCCCACCTACCGCACTGCCACCAGACAATTCAAGACAAGACACTGATTTTTGCCATGGCATTCCCCTGCTTGAGATTTACAGTGGCTCTCCCTTGTCCAAGCCCAGAAATTCAGGTCATCCAGTCCACACTCGGCTGCAGCTCTTGGGGTCCTGCAGAACCTGGCCTCTTATCACCTGCTCACACACAAACCCTTTGATCCAGAATCAGACAGACATAGGTCACCGGCCCCGAAATAAATCCGGCCTAACAGCTCCCTTGAGTCTTCTACTTGTGGTTTTTACCTACTTTTAAAAATCATCTCAAATCTTTACCCAGCTTTGGCTACTCTGCTCCTGAAGTGGGTTGAATAGTGGCCCCCAGAAAGATACTTCTTTCTAAATTGCAGAAGCTGTGAACGGGACCCAATCTGGAAAAAGAGTCCCTGTAGATGTGAAAAGATCCTAAGCCAAGGATCTCAGGATTTAGGGTGGGCTCTGGGCCTGATGTCTTTCTAAGAGACACAGGGATTTAGACAGAGAGACATACAGAAAGGCTGGTCATGTAAGACGGAGGCAGAGGTTAGAGGTACTACACAACCATGTCATTATTTCCAATTCTTGCACGTTTTACTTAAACATTTGGTTTAAGTAATTAAACTTAACATTAAGAAATTAAACTTAAACATTTGGTTTAACTTAAATGGTCCTTCCCACTCACCCTTGTGCCTCTGACATATTCCTAGATATGCCCCCAAAAGGTGCTCAGACAGTAGCTGCTGTGTAAAGGCATCTCAGTTTACCTGTATTCCCTTCCCAAGCAACCCACAAGACACAGTGAACTATTTCTTCTTGGCCCTAGCGCCATCCCCTACACATGGCAGTAGTTGCTCCATTATTGTCTTTGAACTGAATGAAGTTTGGAAGGGAATGTTTTAGGGTGTTGAAACCCTTCGAGGATGCTCTCTTGGCTCTTCCTGCGGGCTGGCAAAGCAGCTGACTAAAGGCTTTTTCCCAGCTCCTCTAGATCCAGGCGCATCTCCCTCTTGAGGGCACCCCTGAGGAACCAAAGGTCCCATCTGAACCTGCATCCACCCCGGCCTTTCTCCTCCTCCTGTGTTCTTGTCTCCTGAGCTCCCGGGGTGTCCCTCCCATTCCTCCCAACCCCCTCCCTCCCTGCAGCCTTCACATACCTGGGCCTGCTGGGTCTTCTCCAGCCACCGGGCTCGGTCTGCAGGGCTGGGACAATGCACAATGAGGGCGCTGGAGGCGCATTGGAACTCCGTGAGGTGGATCATGAGGAAGATGTCTGGAAGGAGGAGAAGGTCTGCTTCAACGGCAGGACCTTATTTGATCCCCATCCCAAGTCCTCCTTCCCCTCACTGCAGAAGGGGAGCAGGAGAGGCCCGCAGGAGAGACATACTAGGCTCTCGGAGTGGTTGGCACACAAGCTTATCCAGCATGAGCGGGGCGCGGATGACCTTGACCTGGTCTGTTCTGCGCTGGGGCTTGGTCACCAGGAGCACGTCAGAGAAGAGCAACAGGTACACGTCCAGCTGGGGCGCGGGTAGGAGAAAGGCAGGGGTCAGCTGGAGCGGGGAAGGGCGGCCCAAGTGTGGGGGTGCTCATAGGCACAGGGAACTGGGCAGGCCTCGGAATGCTGGAGCCGGCAGGAGGGTTTGCCTGGTCCCATGGCGCACTTTCTAGGCAGGCTCACTCAGACGGCCAGAGCTCGGCTAGAGCCACGACCTCTCCCTGGTACACACCCTGCTCTCCGATCTCCAGCTTTCAGGCTCTTATGCTGCCTCCCCTCACCCTCCCTTCTTTCTCGTCTGCCATTTTCTCCTCAACCAACACCTGTCTTCTCTGCTCCCCTCTTCCCTCTGTCTCACCTTCGCTTCCCGGCCCTCCTTCACTCTGGCGGGTCCCTCATGCAGCAGCTGCCTGGTGTGCTCGGAGGCCACCCCCGTTATGGGGCCCAGCAGGTTCAGGGAGGAGAACGGACGCAGTCTCTGCGCGACACAGAGGGGAGAGGATCAGGGGGCCGGCTGCCTCCCAGCCAAGGCGGCTCTCGTTCTGTCACCAGTGTCCAGTGTCGTCTCTTTCTGACCTTTCCAACTCGGAGGAAGAAGCATCTGGTGCCTTCTTTTCACTCTTTTGAACTTCACCCCTTGACCCCTGACCCTCCCTCCCCCCAGGACTGGTGGGCACGCCCTACCCCCAGGCTCCTCTGCCCCTTTCTTCTTGGGTATCTGCTTCAGGCACTGGCTTGGCCCTCCCTTCCTCTGCCCTCTCTCACCTTCTCCACCTCCTCGTTGGATGGCTCCAGCACCTCATAGCGTCCAATGCGTTTGGTGGCAGCCTCCAAGCTCTTCTGCTCCTCACTCTGGCGGACTTTCTTATTGATGTCCCGCAGGAATGACACCACGGCTCCAATCTACATGGGGTGGGGTTGCAGGGAGGCACAGCCACACTGTGACGTGCACACGAGGAAAGAGACCCTCAAGAGTTCCTGGAGATCAGTGTGTATCCGCAGCCCCCAACTCCCGGGTCCTGACCAGCGAGGCGGCCTACCATGGCTGTCAGGGCCTCCTGGGCCCGGGCCTCCGGGCTCCTCTTGAGCACAGCCTGGAGCAGCAGTGGGTACTTGGTGATGCGCTGGTGGGGCTTGATGAGCAGGTCCCCCAGCTGCTGTCTCCCTGAGCACTTGTGTTTCTCACACCACTGCCAGAGAAGGTAGGCAGGAGCTCAGGAGTCTGCAAGCTCCCTGCTGCCCCCTCTGCTCCAGTAACCCAGCTGGAGATGGAGTGGCCTGGTATCTAGGATCCACCCCATGCCCTGTCCCCACACAACCCCTTTCCCACCTGCACGAAGACATGGAAGAGATGGTTACTGTCTTGCAGCTCCCGGGCATGAGCCATGGTCTGCCTCACTTGTGTGCAGTACTTGACATAGGGATGGAACCGCTCCTTGAACTGGACAGAGCAGGCAGGCAGAAGGGTATGAGATACAGGCTCTGGCCACAGAATGTGGGGAGCAGCATGGGGAGAGAGCCCTCATGGAGCGTTAGTCGGCTCTTGTGATGGCTCTCTCCCATGACTGCCAGAGCCCCTGTCTCTGGATTCCATGTGGGAGCTGAGATCCCAAGAGAGGTGCACCCGGTGCTGTTGTATGAACCCCCAACTGGGCCTACCATACCCTGCGGCCTGGCACCTATTCCCCACCCTCAATAATTCAGCTGGAATGTTTTCAAGACACTGAAGGTCCCATTTCACCTGGGGTGGGGTAGGGTGAGGACCCGAGGCTTGCCCAGACCTTGCTCCTGTGGAAGTGGCCTCTAAGGCCACTTAGAGGTGTCACCCCTCCCCGCCAACCTTTCTACTCTCTTCCCAGGGCCCACATTTTCTTGGATGGGTAAAACTGTGGAAGAAAGTCTCATCCTAGGCCTCTTGCTTTTTCTTATCACTCTTCTCCAGTGCCCTGTGCCCTTTTATACCTCCACCCCCATGCCCTGGGGGACACCTCCCTTAGGCCCCATTCTAGCTCCCAGCTGTGTGTCAATGGCCCTCTAAGCACAAATTAATATTTTGTAGTTGACAAGAGCTTAGGCTTAACCCTTCTCTGAGGTAGCTGCCTTTTTAATTCATAAGGTTTCCAGAAGATCTTATGTACTTGAGGAACTAAAGGGCAGAAGTTAAGGTGACATTTTGGGGTAGGGGCTGTACCCTCAGGCCCCCCAAATCATGAAAGGATTTGCGTCATGTGAGAATGCCCTACAGACAAGACCCCTCTCGGCATCTGCAGTCCCCTGGACCTGAAGGTAGCCCTTCCCCACGCCTCACCTTCAGGAAGCCATTTTGCAGACTGACTGGGTCCAGAGGCTGGCCTGAGGCTCGAGTCTCCTGCAGGGTGGGCCCCAGCACCTCCTCCCAAAAGCTCTGGTGGGCTCGAATCAAGCTGGGGACACTTCCAAAAAGGGGCTCAGCTGACACCTGGAGGAGGAAGTAGGACTCTGCAACATGCTTTAGCAGGTCACCGCCAGGCAGCACTGACTGTGCACGGGCCAGACTGCTAAGGGTGGCAGGGGTGCAGGGGGAGAGATGAACTTGACAGCGAGCCTGAAAGAGCTAAGGGAGTCCAGTCTTCCCTTGCACTTGGGCCTCATGGGGCTAAGGGCTGAGTACAGGAAAGGAGCAGAGGCTGGAGGTCTCTAGCCTGCTTGGGGTCTAGAGCAAGAAAGAGAGTAAGGAGGACAGGCAGTGGAATTCAGACTGGACAGCCAGAGGGCTCTCTGCAACCTCACACCCCCCACTCCCCAGGCTCAGAGCTTGGGAGGTGTCAGCTGCCCTCCTGAACGCCCACTCACTTCTGTTAGCAGTCCCACACGGTGCAAGTTCAGCAAACTGTTGACGATGAGCTAGATGCAAGGAGAGAGGGAGTCTCAGTGCCTGACCCCTTCCCCATAGGACACAGCCCCTCAATGCACGCTGCACCCAATGTCACCAGTGTCACCTGTTCTCCCAAGATCCCAGGCTCAACTCAGGGGAAACCCTTGCCCTCCTGTCCTTCTCTCCCAGTGCCCCTGCCCCTGCTGGCCTGGAGGATAGGATGATGCAAGAGAGATGGCGGGGGCGCTGAGGGAGGCTCACGTCGGTCATAATCTTGAGCTTCTGCACGTAGATCAGCTCAGTGGTCAGTAGCTCCCAGAGTGCTTCCTGCTGGTGGCAGAGATCCCGGCTCATCTCCTGGGGTGGGCACAAGCTGGTTCAGTGGAGAAGACCAGAAGAGCAGCTACCATTTGCTAAATGCTACCGGATCTACTTCACAGATGACCTTCTAATCCCCCAGTGTGGAGGTGGTGTTATCCCCATTTTATAGATGAAGCAACTGAGGCTCAGAGAGGTTTGCTGTCTGGACCAAGATCTCACTAGTAAATGGCAGAACTGGGATTTGAACCCAGAGCAAGATGCTGTCAAATGTTTTCCCCACAAGACCCTAGACCCTGAGCTCTTACCCTCCTCCAGGATAGAGGGGAGATGTGTGGGTGTGTAATCCCACGGGGACAGACACTGTTTCAGGCCCACCTTGTGCCCTGGCACCAGCTCCTTCCAAGACGTCTCAGTGGCCAGGCTGCCCCAATTGCCTTCTCCGATCTCCCAGTGCTGCTGGTCCTCGGGAGGCAGCCGGGGTATCCCATACATGCTGAATTCATGCAGCTTTGTCTCCAGCTCATGAGTGTTGGGAAACTCCTGGGGGAGCACACAAGGGGGTCAGCCCTGGGTGTCCAGCCTACCTGGCCCAGGAGGGAATTGCACGTGAAAGCATACATGCGTGTGCATGTGTGCATGGGAATGGGAGGTGGTGAGCAGCAGTGAATGTGAGTGAGGCCTGCGGGACAGGGATGACCTGGGACCAGGATTACAGGGGACAGGGCATTGCTGGAACATGGGTGGAGGGGCACCCGGGTCTGCAGAAAGGCCCCTGGATGAAAGTTGGGCTCCCTCACCAGAAATATTCCTTCAGGAGGTCTGAGACAGAACCCTTCAGGGGAAACTTCGGGTAGAGACAGGACTTAGGGAACCAGCAGTCTGAAGGCAACATTTTAACATCTGCCCAGAAAGCGGACATTTTAATGAGGCAGCATAACTTGGAGACAGATCCCTGAGGGGTCTCTAGACAGAGCCGAATCCCATTATTGGGGGGCTGCCTGTGCACTCAGCTCTGATGTCTGTGGAGGACATCACGGCACGGGCTGTGAGTGGTGGGGGGACCCCTTACCTTGACTTTGGGGGAATGAGGTGGGCCATGCCGCTTCTCAGACTATGGCTCCCAAAACCCCAGTGGAGATAGGGCTCGGGAATGGCCAGAACTCTTAGTCAAATTCTGCATGTGCAGGCGACTGGGATCCCCCAGAAGAATCCTGGGGGCTGCCTCCTTTGCCCCAGCAGCATCAGGCTTGGCTCCAGAGCGTGGCACGTACGCTTGCTGGCTTACCTTCCCCCCAGACCAGTTTGCTGTGAGCCACTCCTGCCCTGAGTCACAGTGGCTGCTGCCAGGGAGGAGTCGGGCAGGGACATGCCAACCTGGCTCCCCAGTGGACCCAGGGCAGAATTAGGGACCTGCTCAGGTGTAGGAGCACAAGCGTGCACATGCCTGGGCTCTGGTGTGTGTGTCCCCCAGTGCCCGCCCCCTCCCACGCCTGCTCTCTGTGCCCAGGCTTGTGGCAATGTATGGGCAGTGCACAGGACACCCTGTCTTCTGGGTGCCTCACAGCCTCCCTGGTCTATGACCAGACCCCTGAGCACATGGGGATGAGGGCCCACACACACGTTTGGCCTCCTGCCCAGGGGCGCACGCAGCCTGGTCCCGTCCACTTGGGAGCGGCTGCCCTTCCATCCCTTCCATGCAGGAGGTTGAGGTCATGGCCACGAGTCTCCTCCCCATCAGGCCCAGTCACATTCTTTGATCTGCCTGTGGCCTGATTTACCCCACGTAATTCCTAGTCTCCCTGCCCACCCTCATCCTGGGAGAGTCCCCGGCTGTCCTCCAGTGAGACCAGGTATACCCCGAGCCGGAAATAGAACAGTTTTCTAGGTGGAGGGAAACCTGGAGGGAAAGACCATGGCTCCCACACCCCTTTTGTTGGTCAGCACTGGAGGTGGGCCAGAAGGGTGGGGTAGGTGGAGTTGTGACAGGTCCCCACACCCCCTGCACTAGTAGAGTAGGGACACCCTGAACCTTTGCTCTTCCTCCAGCCCTGACTCAGAGGGAGGCAGATGTCAGTAACCCACAGACTCCTCCTAAGTAGAGGCACTAGTGTGGGAGGTGCCAATCTCAGGGCTTGGTGGACTTCCTCCCAGCTCTGGGCCTAAGACCTGTCTAGCAGCACCTCCTCTGAGGGCCTGGCTACTCCTGGCTTGCTCCCTTGCCTGCCCCAGCTGTCTGGAACGGGTGTGGCCTCCTGGGAGCCTGGCCCAGCACTGCCCTCCTCTCCCTCATAACCCAGGAGAGAAGGCAGGTACGAAGAGGGCAGCAGGTGAACCTGCAAGGGGACAGAGACTTGCAAGCCCCAGAATCCTCCCTCCTGCCCCACCCAGGTCACCTGCAGTGCAGAGTCCGAACTTACCAGCTTAGAGACTCCTCTGGGATGGAGACTGTTAGTCTGGGATTTGCCCCCATAGGTCTCAATGCGGGAGGCAACCAGGCCGTGGGTAACACCCCAATCTGGAGAATCAACAGCCCTCATCCCTTCTCTCCTGGGTCACCTCCAAAGGGTCATTGTCCCAACGTCCAGGAGAAAGGGGTCTCCTGAGCCTGCAAAGAGAAAACAAGGAATGGAAAGTCCAGTCTTGAACACTGGGTGTCACCAGTAGGGAGGGAAAGACAGTGGAGTGGGAGTAGGGGGGTGCTAAGGGCCTGCATGACTGCCCCATGGGCGGTGTGAGTATGTGGAGATAGACCTACCCGTTCACATGAGGGCACACTTGGGGTACAAGCACCCACTCTATCCTGAAGGGATGTCGTAGCCCTAAGCTGAGAGCAAGTGTCAGACAGGAACTTGGCTTCACAGATGTTGCCAGAGGGATTCCCCTTTCATCCAGCTACACCCTCCTCTTCCCATACAGAGGCGGGGGAAATCTGCAGGGACATGGGGGTGGGGGTGGGGAGTTGGAGAATGCCTGACCTGTCATCTGTTTTTGTGCCCATTTAAATAATAGGGAAACAAAACAAATGAAGAATAAGATTCCAAACACATGAAAATTGTATGAATCATATGAAATTCAAATGTCAGTGTCCATCAAGTTTTACTGGACACGGCCAAATTCACGGACTTGCCAATTGTCTGACTGCTTTCCTGCCACTTGCCGCAGAGACCTTATAGGCTTCAAAGTCTGAAATATTTACTATCTGGCCCTTTCCTGAAAAGCGTGCCCACCCCCTGCTTGGACCCAGTGCCCACAGGCAAGGAGGCGAGTGAATTAAGGAGGCGATCAGGCCCCGATCAGCCAAGTGCAAGCAGTTCTCCCTGGACCTGGGCTGTGTTTGGTCTTCCCCAGCCTCTGGGAACACCTCCAGGGACTGGGAGCCAAGCGCGGGGCTCCATGCCTTCCCCCTAAACCTGAATAAAGGCCCCATTCCTCTGCGGGGCAAAGCCTAGGGAGGAGAGGCCTCTGGGCAGGTGCAGGTCTCCCTCCAGGGCCCTGAGGTCCCTGCCCCACCCCCCTTACCTTTCCGCTGATTTGTGGACAGGGGAGGAAATCGTTTGATGTCTCCGAGACACCCAGCCCCCCTCCTGCTGCCCCCCCTTCGCCCCCCCCCCCAATAATCCTTCCTCCAAGGATTCGGCTCTTCCTTCTTCTTCCTGCTCTAAGTTCCCTTTTAGCGTTGTCCGCGGCGTCCCATCCTCTGCAGCCGCCGTGCTCGGGCCCTGCGCCCCGCCCCTGCCTGTCCAGCCTTGCAGGCGCTCACCTGTACGGGCAGGTGTCCCGGGTTCCGCAGCCAGCGCGGCCGGTCCCCGCCCGCGGGGCTCCCGGTGACCCACGGCTCCCCCAGCGATGCCCGCCGCACCGCCCGGCCTGGGTCTGGGACCAAGCGGCCCGCGGGACCGGGGCCGCGCTGAGCTGGGCCGGGAGGGACCGTGGCGGGAGAGGGGCGGGGACCGGGGCGGGGACCGGGGCGGGCCCCGCCCCCCACCGCGCGCTCCGGTCCAGCCGCGCAGCTGGGCGCCCGCGGGGCCCTGGGGACTGCGGCCTCTTGCCCAGGACGCCACCGGCCAGGGGCGCTCAGTCCGCTGCGCCCCGCAGTGTCCCCTCTTTCCTTCTCATCGGAACCGACCACCCGCCGGCCTGGACGGAAGGCTTAGAACCGTGCGTCCCTCGTGCGTCCTGCACCCTTGACCAGACCCTTGCGTGTGGCCAGAGCGCTGAGGCGTCCGCGCCCTGCCGGGCGCGCTGGGGGAGGCGCGGCGAGGGTGATGGCCGAGCGATCATCCGTGGCAGGCGCCCTCCTCGCGGTCTGCGCAGCGCCGCTCGCCACGCCCTCCCGGACCTCGGCTTCCCTCTCCCGCCAGGCTGGGGACCTGGACTGTCAGCAGAAGGGGCAGAGTGGGCCCCGGGGACCCAGAGGCGTGCGTGCCATCCTAGTGGCCGTGGAGTCCAAAGTATGGCCCTTATCTCTCACTGGCCTGCCCTGGTCATCGGATGGAGGCTATCTCCGGACTTGGACCTTGCTTCAGGGATGGTACCTGGTGCCACGTTGAGGCTTGGCCCCACACTGGACACTGAGGCTGGGGTGGCCAGTGTCGGAAGGGGGCACCCGCACGCTCCGCTGGCAAGCAACGGTACTCCAGGCCCAGGCGTGCCACGGCTCGCCCCAGCACCTCCCGCGGTTGCGAGGCTGTTTAGGAAGGCTACCTGCTGGACACGCCATGAAAGGGCCTCATTTTCCCATCTGCAAGTCAGGGCATCTCCTCCGACAGAGGCGCTGCATGTTGGAAACCAGACGGGTTTGCAGCGAAGCCAAGACCCTGCAGTGGGGTCAGGGCGGAGCTGAGCGCCCCCACCCCTCTGGGGTCTTCCTCCTGCGCATCCCCACAGCAGGGATGGCCACAACTCCGTGTATCTGCAGAGGCGCTGAAGTTTAAGGAGCACTTTCAAAAGGGAAATCTCTGTATCATGGCGGAAAGGGAGCCATTCTCCTTCCCTTTCCAGCGTGACACACAAATGATCAGAGGTGGTTTAGTCCTCGCTCCTACGCTAGTCACTCTGTTTTATTCAGGAGAGGAATCTTCATCATTTGAGGGTTTCTAATTTTGTCTGCCCTCCTGGTTTTCTTCCCATGTTCTCTTTTTCTGAGCTTGCTGCTATGTGACGGCTGCGTTGATTCAGAAGAGTTATTTGTGCCTGCAGCTCTCAATCCAATCAGCCCCTTCCTGCCTCCAGTTGACGGGGCTCAATATTATGTTCCTAAACCTTCCCTCTCCCTAGTCACAGCGTGGGAGAAACAGGGAGAGGGAGAAAGCAGAGATCCAGGGGTGACAAGAGTAGCCTGCAGGCAAAGAGAGCTCACAAACGGGAGGTGGTGATTACTGGCAGCATTCAATGACACCCCAGAGAGAGCTGGTGCCAAGGCCCCTAGCTGCTTCTCCCTGAGTCTCCCAGAGGAGGTGGAAGGCGGGGGAGAAAAGAAGGAAATTGAAATTGAGAGAACACAGACAAGCCTGAACTTAGAGCGCCTTGGGGTGAGCAGGATCGACTGGCCCAGCGGACCTGGGGAGAGTTAACCCTTTCACGTCCCTCAAGGCAGAGATCCAGTCTCCACCCTCCACTGCCCTAGGGCGTCTTCAGCCTTTTGGGAGGAGAGGTTCCCAGGGAAAGTTGGAGTCTAAAAGCTGGAGGTGTGACTGCAGTCTGTGGGCAGGGAGGTGGGGACTCCTGTGCTCTATTTGTTCCCTTCTGGCCTAGATACAGTTCCCCATCCCCCCATTTTTCCCTAGCCCCTCTTTGTCATGGAGAGAAGGTGCCTGCAACAAGCAGGCCTGGAGGAGAAGCCAGTTCTGGGAGCTGAGTGATGCCTCAGGACTTGGGAGTGTGGAGACTGGGGTCTGCGTGGCCCTGGGGAACTCCTGGTCCTGTCGGAGAGCATCTGACCCTCAGCCCAGAGAGAGGCACCTGGTCACTTGTCTTTCTTCCTGACTGGCTCAGAGTTTCATTATATCTCTAGCTCGAGCCCTATCCCTCTTGCATGCTTCAGTTTCTCCTCTAGTGCCAATGCTCCCCAGCTCCACCCACAGCTAAAGAAAGTGTCTGTCCAAGATCGGAGCTCTGCATCCAAAGTCTGAATGATAAAGCATGAGGGTAACTTTCTGGAATTGGCATTTGGCACCTCAAGTCCCTTCTTTCCTCCCTCACCAGACAGGTGGGCCAGGGAAACTCATGGCGCCCTGAGCACAGGCAGCCATCCCCTCCAGGGCAGAGGTGGGGCCATCTGGGTTAATGAGGTCTAGCAAGTACTAGCAACAGGAGGCAACTAATGTGAGGTGTGTCCTTATTGCCCCAGAGTGGGGGAGAGGGCGGGAGGCTGAGGGTTGGAGCTGGGAGGTGCAGGTCACATGAGGCAGAGAAAATCATGCCAGGAGACCAGGTCACTGGGCACGGCTGCCAGTGCCTTAGACCAGAACTCACACCCTCCTCTCTTTCCTTTCTTCCTCTTGACTCTATCCCTCTTCCCCCACTTATTGGCAATCAGTGTTCATCGGTGCCAGGTACTGGAGTAGATAGAATAGACATATTCCTCATGTGAGGAACGGTCCTATTCCTAGGGTGAGTCCTGGCCTTCTGGACATTGCAGGCTGGTGGTGAACAGAACACCAATCTAAAATTTATGCATAGAAAGAATGAAGAAGGCCTCCCTGGTGGCGCAAGGGGTTAAGCACAGCATGATGAAGCTGTCTGCAGCCTCTACAGCACAAGTTCGATCCCTCACCAGCCAGGGAGCTACCCACATGGCGCAGCAGACCTCTCCTGACTCTCCCGCTGCTCCCCTCAGCAGTGTATTTCAGTCAGTCTGCCTGTTCTGCTCCCCACTCTGTCTCTGGTGAATCCTCTTACCCTCCTGCACTTCTGGCCTGTACCCCCCCGTTCTTGTATGCATAAATAATATGCATAAATAAATCTTAAAAAAAAAAAAAAGAATGAAGCAACCCCATGGGAGTGTTTTGGAGGGACTAATAACTACACCAGTGATCCGAGGAAGGCTTCTAGAGGAGGCGAGCTTTGTGCTGGGATTTTAAGGATGGGTAGGAATTTGCAGACAGAGGAGGAAGGAAGGATATTTCAGAGGAGGGAAGAGCAGGAACAAAGATAGAGATATGTGTTTATTTATTTTTTTTGCAAAAATATGGAATGCCTCATGTCATCCTTGCACAGGTGCCATACTAATCTTTGTATCGTTCCAATTTTAGTATATGTGCTGCCACAGCAAGCACACAGAAATGTATTTAGAAAGTAAGTAGGAAAGGATAGGCTTTACCAAAGTCCTCTGAGAGCCTGTCCTGATGGCCACTTAGGGACTTTCCCCTGTGCAGCAGCCAGTCTCTGCTGGGTAGCTTAGGAGGACAAACCCTCTTTCTGACATGCATGTTAGGAGTTCTACAATATCACCCCTGAGACACTCCTACTTCCCTCCATGGACCTGTCCCCATTCTCTGACTCTGACTCAGCTTCCTGAATCCATGCCTGTGCACAAGCTCTGCCCCCTGAGCTGGCATAACTACCTTGACCCCTTGTCTTCCCATCACCACTTCTGCCCCGTTCAAGGCCCTTCCCACAGGTTGCTTCCTTCAGAAAACTTTTCTGATCATTTCCCAACCTGGGTGATCACTTTCCTCCCTGCTTCCAGCTACCAGCTTCCAGTTCTTTAAATGAGAACAAGGCACCACTTTTATTCTGCCTAGTATTGCTATTCACATATATGTCCACATCCTCACTAGGCTCCAAACTCCTCAAGGGCAAATGGCCGGGACCTGATGGAGGACTGGTTCCAGTGTTTATGGAATTGAGCTGCATGGACTTGCTGGAGAACCGAGCTAAAATCACCTTGCAGGGAGGCATACCTACTCACTCTGTCATCGCTCTGCCCCTGACCCAGTGAAACACCTTTGCCTTTTAGATATCTGGAATTCCTTTCTAACTGCAGTTTGGCATTCCTGGCTCATTATGGTCGTGTCAGCAGTTTCCCCAGTGTTCCTTCTAAAGGTCCCTGACCCCTTAGGACAAACACATCAGGAAATTTTTTACTTTGCAAGCCAGTTCTGGTGGGTTATCAGTGGTTTCCCTAGACCACTATGTCGAGAAGAATGCTGTGAATGTTGGGAGTTCAGAAGAAAGAGATGTCTGAGCAACGCCTGCATGGCGGGGGTGGGGTGGGGGGGTGGGGGTGGGATGCAGGGCTCCTGCTGTCTTTGTGTAAAGAGTCTAGCTTAGGCCTCCCTGGTGGTGCAGAGATTAAAAACAGCACTATCAAGCTATCACCAGCCACTGCAGCATCAGTTTGATCCCCCACCAGCCAGGAAGCTGACCCACATGTTGCAGCAGACCTCTCCTGTGTCCCTGCTGCTCCCCTCAGCAGCGTATTTCAGTAGATCTGCCTGTTCTTCTCCCCACTCTGTCTCTGGTGAATCCTCTCACCCCCCCGCACCTCTGGCTTACGTCCCAGTTCTTGTATGCATACATAAATTAATCTTTAAAAAAAAGTCTAGCTTATCGCATTCTTTTTTAAAACATTAAATCAATATCAGAGCACTGTGAGAATGTGGGACTTTTGCCTCTGGTGGAAGCAGAAGGGGGGAAGTGATAGAAGAGGATCTGGGGGCTCCAAAGGTAGATTTACCTTCTTAGGAGTTCTCAAGGGGATCCTCCAGTCAGAGGTCTTATGTCCAGATCTGTGCTCTGACTGTGCCCCGACCTGCTCTTGACATGTGGGAATTGTGGGACCGGCAGACTCTCCGA